TATAGTTTATTCATAAGTTCACAGCATAAAATTTCGAAAAATTATAGATTGTTCACCAACCACTGCCGAGTGTTCACCGGTATTCGTTGGTGTCATCAACAATATAATATTTAAATTAATGAATGGGTTTAGTGTTGTGTGATATTAGGGTATCATGAGTATTTTTGGTAATTAAATATGGCGTGCTTAGTTAATTTTATATTTTGATTTAAATATTAGGGTGCACTCAGTTAATTTTAGGGTTTGTTTATCAACACTCTATATTTAATGCTTAGAATTTTTATCCAAGTACATGTTAAGTATAGTTCATTAGGTCAAGTGGCGCATATATTTATACCTACCTTTAACTTTGAGGTTATTTTAGAGCTCTATCATTTTTCCAATTTATGTATTTTCATTATTAAAAAAATAAACTAACTCCTTAAATTCTGAGTGACCCTAAAAGGAAATTTTTAAACATTATAATTTTCCCTTCTCATTATAATTAGATAATTTTTTTTTCAATAAATGAAAAGGGAAAGAAGCAAGGAGCAACAGCAGCAACAATAACCATAATCTCACGGATTAATGTTTTGTTATTTATTTTTGGTTTGATCACAGATCAATGTCTAGCAAAAGAAATATATAATAGAGAATTTATACAGGTCACGATCCCAAAATAAACAAACGAACCCGCTAAAGAAAGTGGGGAGAGAGAGAGAGAGAGAGAGAGAGAGAGAGGGCTAGCTCACAGGTGGAGGAAAATCAGTGGCTATGAGAAGCCCAAGTTGCACCCTCAACAGCCTAATTAAGGTCTGCACCTGCAGGCTGGCTGCAGCAAGTAATGATGATGATCACCGACAACCTTGTTCAGCAAACCATGTTTCAAATTTGTCCTACTCTTAGTATACCCAGAAAAACCCTTATTTACAGCTAGAGAGTACGTAAGGAAACAGTGGAAGCCGTGGCCTGCAGCCATGGATGGATATGTCCAAGAACCTAGCTGAAGCCGAGGGTTTTATATGGTGTTCATGTTTCTTGTTAGTTGTCTTTACTCGTTGTGTGATGGAGAGAGGCTGAGAGGGCAGTCAAAAGAGAGAGATGAAGTTTGGATTGACCGGAAGAGAAAAATCTGTGCCACGTCATTTCCACGTATGTCGGCATCCATATTCTTATTATAGTGTGCAACAATAGGAAAAATACTTCATGCCCCGGTGCCAACCCTGGTTCTATCTCTATATTCATATCACTTATCACATGTCACATAAAGAGAGATATATGAAGATAGACTGTGGCACCGAGACAAAGAAATTTCTTCCAAAATAAAAAGGCATACAAATTACAAATTCCAACTTATATTATTACAACATGAAATCTTGTATTCCCTTGCTACATACAAGAAGCTAGTTATTAAACCAAGATTAAGCATACATATACTAATTATATGAGACAGAAACTCTAATTGATCTCAGCTCAGGGGATGGGATACACAACCACCTTTCCAGTAGCCCTGGATGTTTGAAGGTAGGTAAATGCCTCTATGGTCTTAGAAAATGGATACGGGCCTGTGGGATCAATCACTGGCTTCACCTTCCCACTCTCCAAGTAAGGCTTGAGTTTCTCCAAAATGGACCCAGTTGAGGTGAGCACAAACATGGAGGCTGGTGGTGTTATTGGACCTATTAATGTCACCACCCTTCCCCCTTCTTTCACCGCCTTCACTGCCTTATCCGACTGACCTGTATTTTTGTTCATTTCAAAATTATTTCCCTTTTATTTCACATAATTAGTAAACAAATAGAAATGAAGAATAATTAATTACCAACTGCATCATACACCACATCAAATTTCTCAGGCAGGTCTTCAACGTTTTCCTTAGTGTAGTCAATAGCCAAATCAGCACCCAAGCTTCTCAGCAAATCAAGTTTTTTAGTGCTCGCAGTGGCTGCTACTCTGGAGGCACCAAAAACATGCTTTGCTAGCTGCCACAAAATTAACACAAACATTAACCTTAAAACAACCAAAACATATGGGAGGATTGTCTGAGGTAAGCTAGAAGAATAAGAACAAAAACGAACATATATGTACCTGAATAACATGAGTTCCACAACCCCCAGCGCCTCCCAAAACAAGAATGGACTGGCCAGCAGAAAGCCCAACTCGTTTCAGCCCTTCATAGGCTGTCTCAATAGCCGCCGGAAGGCTAGCAGCTTCCACAAAGCTCAGGTTTTTGGGCTTCAGAGCCAACAATCTTTCTTCTGCAGCAGTGTACTCTGCCAAAGTCCCAAACTTCTTCAGATTTATGCTACCCTCCTCATTGATATCTCCATACACTTCATCCCCAATGTTAAATTTGCTGGCTTTGCTTCCCAACTTCACCACCACACCAGCCACATCAAACCCTGGAACTGTCTGCAAACAAATCAGATTCATAAATTCATAATGATAAGTTTTTAGTTAGTTAATGATTTAATTATGGAAAAATGAAGAGGGGCCAGCTGAGTTGAGTGAGCTCACAGGCAGAGCAGTGTCAGTGGCCCTGAAAACGCCAAGGATCCTCTTGTCATCAATTGGGTTAAGAGCTGCAGCAACAACCTTGATCAGCACCTGGTCTTCCTTTATTTGAGGAACAGCCACATTTGTTTCAAACTTCAAAACATGCGCAGTTTCTCCATGTTCTCTGTAAATCCAAGCCTTGTTTACAGAGGGTGGTGTGGTGGATACACATGAAGCCTCAGCCATGTTGGATGTACAAGAAAGAAACTTTGGTTAATTGTGGTAGAACAAGAAACCAACCAGACCCTGCTTTTTAGAAAGCCAAAGAATGAGATGGAAAATGGGGAGGGAGATTGGGTATTTAATTATTTACTGGTTTTGTTTTGAGCAAGGAAAAAATAATACATTATTCTGTCATAATCTCAAAAGCTAAAAAACAAGCTGCAATGGGCAATCAAATTTTGACATTTGCTCTTGCTGCCTTCAAAATCAAAACCCATGCATCATTGCTTTGATATTATATATTTTTAACTCCACTGGATGTTATGTTTGACACTTCAACAACAGATGCTCTCATTAATTAAAGATTGCGAAAGAAAACTAAGACAAACTGAAAGAGGAAGAAGGTGGTGGATCCCACCGGCGGCGGGGTGGAGGCCGGTGAAAGAACATTTATCGAATTATATAATGGTCCATCATGTACATATATTATTAGTTAGAAGATGGTGGATTTCATAATTGTTATGTTATCAAACATAATATAATCTTTTGATGGATTTCCTTTGTCTGTATCCATAGTGGAATATCTCTGTGTGTAACTGGTAAACTTGTACAACAACAATAAAAAAAACAAAAGAAGGGAAGAAGATTTTGGCTAAACAATAGAAAGGAACTTTATAGAAACCCCTTTAAAATAAAACAGAGCCTGCTTTTTAGAAAGCCAGAGAATATGGGATTTTCTGTTTGTGTCATCTGTTGTGATGGAAAATGGGTATTTGTATCTGTTTCAAGTTTGAACTTTCATTCAATCATGTCTGCATAGTTTGACTCGTCGCCGCTGTAAAGACGAACACAAATTGTTAATTGGTTCGTTCATCCAGTAACATACAGATAATAACGTAAGCTGTGACAATTTACTGGTTTTGTTTTGATAGTGTATGGTCATAATTTCCGACACAACTCGAAACCCGCACGGAAAATTAGTAGTTTAATCCGCACGAATAAATTTTCAAGTTAACCCGCTATGATCCATTTAATAAATAAGTGGGTTTCTAGTCAACCCACCAACCCACTAAAATACATACGTAACAAGTTTATTAAAGGATTCAACCCACAAACTTGCTAAAATATGTAACCTGCCAACCAGTTTCTTTGTTTCTTCTTCATTTTCTTCATTTTTCTAATTTTTTAATCTCTTTTTCTTAATCTTCATACATAGAGAGAGGCAAAATATAATCAGTATTATTTTATTACTTGTTAAATTATCAAAATTCTTTGAATAGTCATTTCTTTTCCTACTTTATTTTTTGTCTACATTTTTATCCCGCTAGTTACTAGTTTATCACATAGAGTATCTCCAAGGGATATGTCAAATGTAAAATGTTAAATTTGAATTTTTGTTATTTCATGTCTATGTGACAATTTGATATATTGGTTGGAGATACTCATAGTAGATCAACCCAATACATGACTCGAAACACGAGGAATTAGCAGGTCAACCCAACACGACACATTTATTAAATTAATTAAATTTAAATTAAATATTTATGACGTATATATGATCCTAACACGACAAGAATACAAGTAAAATGTGACACTTTGTAAAAATTAATAACGTAAGTGCAGATCACATTTAAGAATAGAGTAAAACAAAGCTGCAAGGGGCAGTCAAATTTTGACATTTGCTCTTGTTGCCTTGAAAATCAAAACCCATGCGTGATATGTTGTTTCTATTGGAGCTCTAACATGCATCATTGCTTTGCTACTATATATTTTTATCTCCACCGGATGGGTGACACTTCAACCACAGATGCTGTCATTAATATAGTCACTTTACTATCTAATTTGGAACTTTCAATATGGTCGACCGTCGAAGGTTGTGGCTACCATGGTTATTGAAAATGGTGATTTTATAACAAATTAAAGATTAAGAAAGAAAACTAAGACAGAAAGAGGAACTAGAAGCTGGGGTGGGTCCCACCGTCGGCGGGGTGGAGGCATTTGGTATATCATGTAAATATTATATAGTATATTATTAGTTAAAGGCTTAACTCTTGATTTGCCCTTTAAATTTGTACATAACTTTTGATTTATTCTTTATTAAAATTAAGGATATGAACTTCTTGTTTTTTCACCCAATTTAGCTCTTGACGTCTAAATCTGCAACATTTCATACAATTTACAATTAAATATAAGGGTAAAATTGTCATTTTGTACGTTAAAAATATATAAATACTGAAAAATGAAATGAAAAACTTTTAAAAGTTGATATATATATATATATATATATATGCAAGGGTGGGAGCATGGATTTGTTGCCGCTGCTGGGGAGGGGAGGGATGAGTCCGGGGTGGAACTCGGGAGGGGGGGGATGTGATGGGTTTGGGTCTGGGCAAGGGCTTGGGGATGGGTCTCAGGTGGGGCAAGGGCTGGGGATGGGTCTCGGGTGGGAGCAGGGTCTGTGAGGTTGGGTTGATGAGTGGGGTGGGGGTGCATCAATGGGGTTTGTGGTTGATAGGGTTGCGGGAGGAGAGAGAGCGAAAGAGATTAGAGGGGGAATGTGGTGGAGATAAAGGGGGAAGAAGGGGAAGGGGAGGAGGAGGAGGAGGGGCATGGGAGGGGGAGAGAGAAGGGGAATGACAAGGAGGGATGGGTTCTTTGGGTTGGGGGGGAGGGATGTGGGGTTGGCATTGGGTTTGGTTAAGTGGGATTCACATTTTTTTTTTTTTTTTTTTTTTTTTTTTTATTCAAAAAAAAAAAAAAAAAAAAAAAATGATTTTTAAAATAAAAATTTAGATAAAATGTTGAGGATTTAGATGGGATAGAGAAAATTGGAGAAAAAAAAAGTTAATATATTTAATTTTCTATAAATTAAAAAAAGAATAGTGGGTAAATAGAAAATCAAGTAGAAGTTTAGGTGGCAAATCAAGAGTTAAGCCTTAGTTAAAAGATGGTGGATTTCCTAATTGTTATGTTATCAAACATAATATAATCTTTTGATGGATTGCCTTTATCTGTATCCGTAGTGGGAATGTCTGTGTAACTGGTAAACTTGTAGAACAATAAAAAAAAATAAGCAAGAAAAAAAAAAAAAAAAAAAAAAAAAAAAAAATAATAAAAATACATTCCCTCATGCCAATATGCCACTCACTCTCTCATTAAGTTACATAAGAGCATTTGTAATGGTTAGGAGCAATACAATTTTATTGCATGAAATTGAAATAAAACAATAAAATCTCACTTGCAATGATGTGATTTAGTTCATTGCAATAGATGCAATTGCAATAAAGAGTGCTACGTTATGCGTGATGAACCCTCTATAACTTTCATTGCAATAGATGCAATTGCAATAAAATCTATCTTTGAAAATATTTCAATGATACAATTTTTTAGTGTTAATAACTTTTATTTGAGTATGTAAACAAAACATGTAAGTAAATATAACTATTGATATGAATCTATTGAACTATACCATTACAAGTAAAACTGCAGTTCAATTCAATAGATGCGAAAATAGTTCAATATTGAACTATGAACTATTTGGCATCTATTGAATAACCATTGTGAATGCTTATAAATATGGACATTGCCTTGGAGCTAGAGAAGTATTTCTCATAACAAAGGGGGATACAAATTATAAACTCCAACTTATATTATACCACATCAATCTTGCATTCCCTAACTACATACAAGTAGCTAGTAATTAAACCAAGATTAAGCATATATATATATTAATTATACGAGACATAAACTCTAATTGATCTCAGCTAAGGGTCAGGGGATGGGATACACAACCACCTTTCCTCCAGTAGCCCTGGAAGTTTGAAGGGAGGCAAATGCTTCAAGGGTCTTAGAAAATGGATATGGGCCTGTGGGATCAAGCACTGGCTTCACCTTCCCACTCTCCAAGTAAGGCTTGAGTTTCTCTAAATTGGATCCAGTTGAGGTCAGCACAAACATGAAGGCTGGTGGTGTTATTGGACCAAATATTGTCACAACCCTCCCCTCTTCTTTCACTGCTTTCACTGCCTTGTCCGACTGACCTGTTTTTTTGTTCATTTTAGAAATATTTCGCTTTCATTTCACATAATTAGTAAACAAATAGAAATGAAGAATGAAGAATAGTTCTTAATTAATTACCGACTGCATCAAACACCACATCAAATTTCTCAGGCAGGTCTTCCACATTCTCCTCAGTGTAATCAATAGCCAAATCAGCACCCAAGCTTCTCAGCAAATCAAGTTTTTTAGTGCTTGCAGTGGCTGCTACTCTGGAGGCACCAAAAACATGCTTTGCTAGCTGCCAAAAAATTAACACAAACATTAACCTAAAAACCAACAAACAATATATGAGGGGATAATTAAAATTGCTTTAGCTAAGCCAGAAAAATATAAGAACAAAATTAATCAATGCATATGTACCTGAATAACATGTGTGCCCAGCCCCCCAGCGCCTCCCAAAACAAGAATGGACTGGCCAGCAGAGAGCCCAACTCGTTCCAGCCCTTCATAGGCAGTCTCCATAACCATTGGAAGGCTAGCAGCTTCCACAAAGCTGAGGTTTTTGGGTTTCAGAGCCAACAATCTCTCTTCTGCAGCAGTGTACTCTGCCAAAGTCCCGAACTTCTTCAGGTTTATGCTACCCTCCTCATTGATATCTCCATACACTTCATCCCCAATGTTAAATTTGCTGGCTTTGCTTCCCAACTTCACCACCACACCAGCCACATCAAACCCTGGAACTGTCTGCAAACAAATCAGATTCATAAATTCATAATGATAAGTTTTTAGTTAGTTAATGATTTAATTATGGAAAAATGAAGAGGGGCCAGCTGAGTTGAGTGAGCTCACAGGCAGAGCAGTGTCAGTGGCTCTGAAAACGCCAAGGATCCTCTTGGCATCAATTGGGTTAAGAGCTGCAGCAACAACCTTGATCAGCACCTGGTCTTCCTTTATTTGAGGAACAGCCACATTTGTTTCAAACTTCAAAACGTGTGCAGTTTCTCCATGTTCTCTGTAAATCCAAGCCTTGTTTACAGAGGGTGGTGTGGATACACATGAAGCCTCAGCCATGTTGGATGTACAAGAAAGAAACTTTGGTTAATTGTGGTAGAACAAGAAACCAACCAGACCCTGCTTTTTAGAAAGCCAAAGAATGAGATGGAAAATGGGGAGGGAGATTGGGTATTTAATTATTTACTGGTTTTGTTTTGAGCAAGTAAAAAATAATACATTATTCTGTCATAATCTCAAAAGCTAAAAAACAAGCTGCAATGGGCAATCAAATTTTGACATTTGCTCTTGCTGCCTTCAAAATCAAAACCCATGCATCATTGCTTTGCTATTATATATTTTCAACTCCACTGGATGTTATGTTTGATGCTCTCATTAATTAAAGATTGCGAAAGAAAACTAAGACAAACTGAAAGAGGAAGAAGGTGGTGGATCCCACCGGCGGCGGGGTGGAGGCTGGTGAAAGAACATTTATCGAATTATATAATGGTCCATCATGTACATATATTATTAGTTAGAAGATGATGGATTTCATAATTGTTATGTTATCAAACATAATATAATCTTTTGATGGATTTCCTTTGTCTGAATCCATAGTGGAATATCTCTGTCTCTGTGTGTAACTGGTAAACTTGTACAACAACAATAAAAAAACAAAAGAAGGGAAGAAGATTTTGGCAAAACAATAAAAAGGTCAAGGGGAACCACCTTAGCCAAGGTGTAGTTTCGATCCTTATTAGGTTGCAGCAAAACAAGCAACAAGTAACGAAAAACAAAGCAAGTAGCATGAAAAACAAGTAACTAAACTCCAACTTATGTAACATGTTTCTCACATTCCCTTCTTCATATTTTATTTTATTTATGAGTATCTCATATATATTTACGTGTGTGTGCGCGCACATGCTCGCTTGCCAAACTCTTAACTCTGTATCTCATGGGGATGGGATGGGATACACAACCACCTTTCCTATAGCTCTGCTACTAGCTTCAAGATAGGCAAATGCTTCAAGGGTCTTAGAAAAGGGATATGGGCCATTGGGATCAATCACCGCCTTCACCTTCCCACTCTCCAAGTAAGGATTGAGTTTCTCCAAGATAGACCCACTAGCAGTCAGCATAAACATGAAGGCTGGTGGTGTTATTGGGCCTGCCACTGTCACAACCTTCCCCCCCTTTTTCACTGCCTTCACTGCCCTATCCGACTGTCCTGTTTTGTTAATTTCCAAAACACGAAAGCAGATAAACCATAAATTAATTAATTAATAAAATGAAGAATGAATTATATCCATATTGCAGTGTTTTGTTTTGATATATCAGCAGAGAAAGAAACAGCAATGAAGACCGTTCAAATATTTACCAACTGCATCATAGACTACATCAAATTTCTCAGGCTGGTCTTCGAAGTTGTCCTTGGTATAATCAATAGCAAGATCAGCACCCAAACCCCTCAACCAATCCAGTTTTTTAGTGCTTGCGGTAGCTGCCACTCTGGAAGCACCAAAAACATGTTTTGCTAGCTGCCCAACATGAAAAAAAACATCAATTATTTGATAATCAGTTGTACTTAATTAGAGCAAGCAAGATTATTGAAGCCTAAATTAATGGAATATATGCTCTTCTTGACTAATTACGTATTATATTAGAAATAAAAGTATTGATTATATACCTGAATAACATGAGTTCCTACACCCCCAGCACCTCCTAAAACAAGGATGGATTTACTAGCTGAAATTTGAGCTCGTTGGAGCCCTTCATAGGCAGTCTCAATATCCACGGGAAGGCTGGCAGCCTCAGCAAAACTCAGATTTTTGGGTTTCACAGCCAACAATCTTTCTTCCACAGCCGTGTACTCTGCTAAGGACCCAACTTTCTTTAGGTTTATTATTCCTTGCTCATTGATAGTGCCATATATACTTCATCCCCCACCTTAAATTTCCTTGCTTGGCTTCCAAGCTTCACCACAACACCAGCAACATCATACCCTGGAACTGCCTGCAAAATAAATATTAGAAAAGACAGAAAAATTTACGAATGCATGAATTAGAGAAATGGAAAAGAAAAAGTAAGAGGCAGCAATCTCACAGGTAGAGCAGTGTCAGTGTCCTTGAAATACCCAAGAAGCCTCTTGTGATCAACTGGGTTAAGTGCTGCAGCAGCCACCTTGATGAGCACCTGGTCTTCCTCTACTCGAGGAAGAGGCACGTTTGGATCAAGTTTCAATACATCTGCAGGTTTTCCGTACTCTGCGTACACCCAAGCCTTGTTTACAGAGGGAACATTTGCTTCCGCAGCCATATTGTGCGTACAAGGAAGAAAACTCTCTGTTCTTTCTATCTGTGATGGAAAGAGGTCCGGAAACTGGGTATTTTATTAATGGGTTTGAAGTTTGAAATTTGGATTTATGCATGTAGATACGTTTACTTTTAGGGTTCATTCATAGTTTGATATTACCTCAACTAAGTCAAATGTTATTACTTTAATGGCGGATATGACGAAAGCTGTAACAATTTGCAGTTTAATATGTTCTTGTTCAATGCTGATTTCCTGAGACAGGTTTTTCTAGTTTGGGCGGTTTCCATCGTTTTTGTTTACAGCGTTAACCAAAAAATCTGCTATCCCCAAAGTTGGTGGCTAACTTAACCGTTTTAATCTTCTGTGAAGTGGGTGGACATGTTCAAACAATTAGGAAGGGAATAGCCAGGAGACAATTAGATGAATAAATGAAGTCGTTTCTACCCCACCAGACCACAAAATTAACAAGGGTATATCTGACTGTTCAACTTTGTTACCAGATCTAAATCGTTCAACTTTATGAACACAGCAATGAGCAACTAGGAAGAAAACAGAGTGCAAAGTACCCAAACTCCCAACCAACTCCATATAAGTATATAAAACATGCATCATCTCACATCCCATTATTACAAGACTTGAAGTTTAAACAACCAGCAGCAGATTACAAATACATAAAACACAAACTGACTGATTAGACTCTCGTGTCGATCCGAATGAATTATGCTTTCATGCAAGAGAACAAGTTACAAATCCTGTCTCAGAACAATGCACTTGGAAAAAGTTTAATTTCTTATTTTTCTTATTTTTCACAAGCCCATATATGCAAAACTCCCAACTTCGTATATAATACATATAAGAATCTCACATCCCCATTATTACATGTTACAACACTTTAAGTTTACACAACCAGCAGATTACAAATACATAACTCACAAACTGACTGATTGCCTGCCTGCCTGCCTGCACAATCTCTATCATCTTTCTTATGGGATGGGATGCACAACCACCTTCCCTGTAGCCCTGGAAGTTTCAAGGTAGGCAAATGCTTCAACAGTCTTGGAAAAGGGATATGGGCTTGTGGGATCAAGCACCGGCTTCACCTTCCCACTCTCCAAGTATGGCTTCAGCTTCTCCAATACAGTCCCAGTTGAAGTCAGTGCAAAATGGACGACCGGTGGTGCTGCTCGACCTGATACTATTGTCAATACTTTCCCACCTTCTTTCACTGCCTTCACTGCCCTATCAGACTCCCCTGTAATTTTTTTTTGGCCAAACATATCATAAGTCTTTGATTCATTCCTAGTAAATAAATAAACCAAAAAACTCCCCTGTTGGTGGGTGCATGCCTTATATGGATGACATCATGTATCGAATTGTTAAAGAAACCAGAATGAAGAATCTTACCAACTGTGTCATATACCACATCAAATTTCTCAGGCAATTCTTCAAACTTCTCCTTGGTATAGTCGACAGCCAAATCAGCACCCAAGCTTCTCAACAGCTCCAGTTTTCTAGTGCTTGCAGTTGCTGCTACTTTTGAAGCACCAAAAACATGCTTTGCTAGCTGCCCAAATTAGTGGAAATGTTTTCACTTTAATTCCATATACAGTTTGTGGTATATATAGCCTCAAGACATTTTGGAATTAGAAATAAAATTACTTTACCTGAATAACATGTGTGCCCACCCCCCCAGCGCCTCCTAAAACAAGAATGGATTTACCAGCAGAAAATTCAGTTCGTTCAAGCCCTTCATAGGCAGTCTCAATAGCCAGGGGAAGGCTAGCAGCTTCAACAAAACTCAGATTTTTGGGTTTCAGAGCCAAAACTCTTTCTTCTGCAGCAGTGTACCCTGCCAAAGACCCAAACTTTTTTGGCTGCGCAGCTTTCTCATTGAGATCCCCATATACTTCATCCCCCACCTTAAACTTTGTTACTTGGCTTCCCACTTTCACCACCACACCAGCAACATCATACCCTGGAACAGTCTGCAAAACAAATTAATTCAATAAACAAGAATTCTTGCTACATTCTTTGTCACTTGCCAGCCCAGCTGTATTACTAGTAACGGTAAACATGCTAAATGGTAACATGCAATAGAAACCTAACAAGGTGACAAAACTTCCTTCATTAAAACCCAATTCAAAATAAAAACAAATACATTAAAAGAAAATGAAAGAGAAAGAGGCTCTCACAGGTAGAGGAGAGTCGGTGGCCTTAAAATACCCAAACATCCTCTTGTAATCAACTGGGTTAAGAGCTGCAGCAACCACCTTGATGAGCACCTGGTCTTCCTTTATATCCGGCACAGGAACATTGGGATCAAGTTTCAAAACATCTGCAGACTTTCCATATTCTGAGTACACCCAAGCCTTGTTTACAGAGGGTATGGAATCAGTTGAAGCTGCAGCCATTGATAACTAAAATGCACAGAAAAACCAAACTTTGGGGGAATTGAAGGGTTTTCTTGTCGGAAGCAAATGAGTGTGATGAGCAAACACACTCATATAGCTCTTCCACTTTAATAGAAAGAGATCAATATCAACCAGGTCATCATGGGAGGGAGGACCTATGAGAACCTGACAGCGTGTCGTTTTGTTGGTGAAGGAGAAGAATGTGGGGGAAGCTTGGATATTTACGTACGTACGTGGCCATAGAAAGAAGAAAGGAAAAATAAATGTCAAATTATGCATCTGGATGCATATTATGACTAAGGTTCATTGTGCCAGAAGAGAACAGGACAATGCAATTGGAAAACCTTTTTTCTCCTTCCCTCCCTATGAAGTGTTTCCTTTGACACTTGTTGATTGGCTCGTTCATTGAGTAACGTACCAGATAATGACGTAAGCTGTGACAACTTACAGTTTTGTTTTGATTGTGTATGAGTAAAGTTTGACACTTAGTAAAAAGTAATAACGTAAGTGCGGATCGCATTTAAGAAAGGAGAAACAAAGCTGCAACGGGTAATCAAATTTTGACATTTGCTCTTGTTGCCTTGAAAATCATAGCATGCATCATTGCTTTGCTACTATATATTTTTATCTCCACTGGATGTTTGACACTTTAACCACAAATGCTGTCATTATCATAGTTACTTTACTATCTAAATCTAATTTGGAACTTTCAATATGGTCGAAGGTTGTGGACCCCACCCGAGGCGGGGTCGGAAACATTTATCAAAGATAATTGTTATGTTATCAAACATAATATAATCTTTTGATGGATTGCCTTTATCTGTATCATAGTGGAATATCTCTGTGTGTAACTGGTAAACTTGTACAACAACCAAAAACAAAGAAGGGAAGAATAAGAAACAAATTGGCAAAACAATAAAAAGGTCAAGGGGAACCACCTTAGCCAAGGTGTAGTTTCGATCCTTATTACGTTGCAGCAAAACAAGCAACAAGTAACGAAAAACAAAGCAAGTAGCATGAAAAACAAGTAACTAAACTCCAACTTATGTAACATGTTTCTCACATTCCCTTCTTCATATTTTTTTTATTTATGAGTATCTCATATATATTTACGTGTGTGTGCGCGCACATGCTCGCTTGCCAAACTCTTAACTCTGTATCTCATGGGGATGGGATGGGATACACAACCACCTTTCCTATAGCTCTGCTACTAGCTTCAAGATAGGCAAATGCTTCAAGGGTCTTAGGAAAGGGATATGGGCCATTGGGATCAATCACTGCCTTCACCTTCCCACTCTCCAGACTCCAAGTAAGGGTTGAGTTTCTCCAAGATAGACCCAGAAGAAGTCAGCGTAAACATGAAGGCTGGTGGTGTTATTGGACCTACCACTGCCACAACCTTCCTCTTTTCGCCGCCTTCATTGCCCTATCCGACTGCCCTGTTTTGTTTTGATATATCAGCAGAGAAAGAAACAGCAATGAAGAAATTATGAAGAAGGTTCAAATATTTACCAACTGCATCATAGACCACATCAAATTTCTCAGGCAGGTCTTCGAAGTTGTCCTTCGTATAATCAATAGCAAGATCAGCACCCAAGCTCCTCAACCAATCCAGTTTTTAAGTGCTTGCAGTAGCTGCCACTCTGGAAGCACCAAAAACATGCTTTGCTAGACATCAAGTATTTGATAATCAGTCATACTTAATTAGAGCAAGCAAGATTATTGAAGCCTAAATTAATGGAATATATGCCCTTCTTGACTAATTCCATTTTATATTAGAAATAAAAGTATTGACTATATATCTGAATAACATGGGTTCCTACACCCCCAGCACCTCTTAAAACAAGAATGTATTTACCAGCTGAAATTTCAGCTCCTTCGAGCCCTTCATAGGCAGTCTCAATAGCCACAGGAAGGCTAGCAGCCTCAGCAAAACTCAGATTTTTGGGTTTCACAGCCAACAATGTTTCTTCCACAGCCGTGTACTCTGCTAACGACCCAACTTTCTTTAGGTTTATTAGACCTTGCTCATTGATAGTCCTATATACTTCATCCTCGCCTTAAATTTCCTTGCTTGGCTTCCAAGCTTCACCACAACACCAGCAACGTCATACCCTGGAACTGTCTGCAAAATAAATATTCGAAAAACACAAAGAAAGTTACAAATGCAGCCATTAAAGAAATGGAAAAGAGAAACTGAGAGGCAGCAAGCTCACAGGTAGAGCACTGTCAGTGTCCTTGAAATACCCAAGAAGCCTCATGTGATCAATGGGGTTAAGTGCTGCAGCAGCCACCTCGATGAGCACATGGTCTTCCTCTACTTGAGGAAGAGGCATGTTTGGATCAAGTTTCAACATATCTGCCGGTTTTCCGTACTCCACGTAAACCCAAGCCTTGTTTACAGAGGGAAGGTTTGCTTCCGCAAGCCATATTGTGTACAAGAAAGAAACTATATGTTCTTTCTATTCGTGATGGAAAGAGGGACGGAAAACTGGGTATTTATTTGTAAGTTTGAAGTTTGAAATTTGTATTTATGCCTGTAGATGCATATTATTTTGTGGTACGTTCATAGTTTGATATTACCTCAACTAAGTCAAATATGTAATTACTTTAATGGCGGATATGACGAAAGCTGTGACAATTTGCAGTTTAATATGTTCTTGTTCAATGCTGATTTCCTGAGTTAGGTTTTTCCAGTTTGGGCCATTTTTGTTTACAGAGTTAACCAAAACATCTGCTGTCCCCAAAGTTGGTGGCTAATTTAACAGTGTTAATCTTCTGTGAAGTGGGTGGTAATGTTCAAAAAATTAGGAAGGGAAATAGCCAGGGGCCAATACGATGAATATATGAAGTGGCTTCTACCCCACTTGATCACAAAATTAACAAGGTTATATATGACCGTTCAACTTTGTTACCTGCACTGAGCAACCAGGAAGAAAACAGAGTGCAAAGTACCCAAACTCCCAACCAACTCCATATAAGTACATAAAACATGCATCATGTTACGGGATGGGATGCACAACCATTATTACAAGATTTCAAGTTTAAACAACCAGCAGAAGATTACAAATATATATAAAACACAATCTCTATCATCTTAAGGGATGGGATGCACAACGACCTTTCCTGTAGCTCTGGAGGTTTCAAGGTAGGCAAATGCTTCAACAGTCTTAGAAAAGGGATATGGGCTTGTGGGATCAAGCACTGGCTTCACCTTCCCACTCTCCAAGTATGGCTTCAGCTTCTCCAATATAGTCCCAGTTGAAGTCAGCACAAATGTGAGCGCTGGTGGCGTTACTGAACCAAAGATTGTTACAACCTTCCCGTTTTCTTTCACTGCCTTCACTGCCCTGTCAGACTGCCCTGTTTTTGGAAATAAAAACATCATATATTTTCATTCTTTGACTCATTCCTGCTAAATAAACCAATAGGCTATAACATTGATATATTATTTCTTCCAGACTTCAGTTGGTGGGTACATGCCTCATATGGATGAAAACATTATGTATAGAATGTTAAGAACAAACAATGAAGAATCTTACCAACTGCATCATATACCACATCAAATTTCTCAGGCAGGTCTTCAAAGTTATCCTTGGTGTAATCAATAGCCAAATCAGCACCCAAGCTTCTCAGCAAATCCAGTTTTTTAGTGCTTGCGTAGCTGCTACTTTTGAAGCACCAAAAACATGCTTCGCTAGCTGCCTCACGTTAAAAAAAAACATTATCTGTTAGATATAATCAATAGTATAGATATTCAGCTCTACTTAATCAGAGCCCAAATTAGTGCAAATGTTTGCAATTCTTGACTAATTCCATATCAGTTTAAGGACATTCTGGAACTAGATATAAATTTACTTTACCTGAATAACATGTGTTCCCACTCCCCCAGCGCCTCCTAAAACAAGAATAGATTTACCAGCAGAAAACTCAGTCCGTTCAAGCCCTTCATAGGCGGTCTCCAGAGCCAGGGGAAGGCTAGCAGCTTCAACAAAACTCAGATTTTGGGGTTTGAGAGCGAACACTCTTTCTTCTGAAGCAGTGTACTCTGCCAAAGACCCAAACTTTTTGGGTTCACCAAAGCATTCTCATTGAGATCCCCATATACTTCATCCCCCACCTTAAACTTCGTCACTTGGCTTCCCACCTTCACCACCACACCAGCAACATCATACCCAGGAACCGTCTGCAAAACAAATTGATTTAATAAAAAAGAATTCTAGCTACGTTCTTTGTCACTTGCCTGCCCAGCTGGATTACTAGTAGCACTAAGCATGCTAATTGAAAAGACACTGGAACATGCAATGGAAACATATCAAGGAACAGAAGTTCCTTCCAGATCAACTAGATGAAATTGAATTTGATTCTTCAAAGCAGCTTCCTTTTTCTCAAGTATTTTGATTTACACAAAATTGACCAAAAACATGATCACTTGTATCAAAAAGAAAAAAAGAGAGGCAATTATACAGCAAAATGGATCCAACAACACCAGGCCATCTTTTCAAACAAACAAACAAACAAAATGGATCAAACAAACAAACAAAAAAGAAAAAGAAAAACTTATAAAATCGTAAGGATTAACATTATTTTCAAACCCCAAATTCCAAATACAAGCAATGATTTAAAAGAGAATGAAAGAGAAAGAGGCTCTCACAGGTGGAGGAGAGTCGATCTCCTTGAAATACCCAAGCATCCTCTTGAAATCAATTGGGTTAAGAGATGCAGCAACCACCTTGATGAGCACCTGGTCTTCCTTTATTTCAGGCACAGCAACACTGGGATCAAATTTCAAAACATCTGCAGACTGTCCATATTCTGAGTACACCCAAGCCTTGTTTACAGAGGGTATGGAATCACTTAAAGCTGCAGCCATTGATGATTGTTGCACAGAAAAACCAAACTTTCAGGGAAATTGAGGGGTTTTCTTCTTGTAAGCAAATGAGTGAGATGAGTAGACACACTCGGATGGGAGGGAGGAGACCTTGACCGCGTGCCGTTTAGAAAGAAAAAGAAAGAAACTCGAAATAATGAATCTAGATACTTTATCACTTGAGGTTCTTTGGCCACAAGAGACGCGGTAGCAACGCAACCGGGAAATGTAAACCAAAAAAGATGGCTCTTTTTTTATTATATTAGTATTATCATTATCATTAGTATATCTAAGATTAGAATTTAGAGGGAGATTCTCCTAAGAATTTTATGTTAAGGATTGATTACATACCGAAATTAGAACTATGTAACAAATCTTTAACTTAAAATACTCATTACAGAATCCCCCAGTATTTAGTGAGCTAGGATTGTAACAGGCTGGTCAACCTCTTTTAAATATACAACATGGATCCTGGCTATACAATATAGTTAGACTCTCGTGTCGATCCAAGTGAATGGAAAATTCTCCAATAAGTATTTTATGTTAATGATTAATTATATATTTCTAATCTCAATTCAATATATGTTGCATATTAAATCTATTAACACATTTAATGAATGCAATCCAACGACCGAAATAAGAAATATGTAACAAATCCTTAACTAAAGAATTATCCTTTTTACGAAGGTAAATCTTTGTAAACTAGGCCAGAGAATAGCAAGTTACAAATCCTGTCATAGAACAGAAGAATGCACTTGGAAAAAAAGGTTTAATTTCTTCTTTTTCTTGCTTTCCGCAAGTCATCCCATATACATATGCAAAACTCCGAACTTCATATTATAATATATATAAGCATCTCACATCCCCATTATTACAACACTATGTTTACACAACCAGAAGATTAGAAATACATAACCCACAACTGACTGATTGCCTGCCTGCCTGCACAATCTCCTCTATCTTTCTTATGGGATGGGATGCACAACCACCTTCCCTATAGCCCTGGAGGTTTCAAGGTAAGCAAATGCTTCAACAGTCTTGGAAAAGGGATATGGGCTTGTGGGATCAAGCACCGGCTTCACCTTCCCACTCTCCAAGTATGGCTTCAGCTTCTCCAATATAGTCCCAGTTGAAGTCAGTATAATATGAAGGCCGCTGCTGCTACTCGACCTGGTACTATTGTCACTACCTTCCCTCCTTCTTTCACTGCCTTCACTGCCCTGTCAGACCCTCTTTTTTTTTTTTTTTTTTTTTTTTTTTTTTTTTTTTTTAACATCATATAATAATATCAGTCTTTGATTCATTCCTGGTAAATAAATAAACTAACAGATTCCCCTGTTGGTAGGTGCATGCCATGTATGGATTACATAATGTATAGAATTTTTGAGAAACCAGAATGAAGAATCTTACCAACTGTATCATATACCACATCAAATTTCTCAGGCAGTTCTTCATACTTCTCCTTGGTGTAGTCGACAGCCAAATCAGCACCCAAGCTTCTCAACAGCTCCAGTTTTCTAGTGCTTGCAGTTGCTGCTACTTTTGAAGCACCAAAAACATGCTTTGCTAGCTGCCCAAATTAGTGGAAATGTTTGCACTTCTTAAATAATTCCATGTGCAGATTGAGTTATATAAAGCCTGAGGACATTTTGGAATTAGAAATCAAACTACTTTACCTGAATAACATGTGTTCCCACTCCCCCAGCGCCTCCTAAAACAAGAATGGATTTACCAGCAGAAAATTCAGTTCGTTCAAGCCCTTCATAGGCAGTCTCAATAGCCAGGGGAAGGCTAGCAGCTTCAACAAAACTCAGATTTTGGGGTTTGAGAGCCAAAACTCTTTCTGCTGCAGCAGTGTACTCTGCCAAAGACCCAAACCTTGTTGGGTTCTCCAAACCTTTGTCATTGAGATCCCCATATACTTCATCCCCCACCTTAAACTTTGTTACTTGGCTTCCCACCTTCACCACCACACCAGCAACATCATACCCGGGAACCGTCTGCAAAACAATTGATTCCAGCTGATTACTACGAATATAAACATGCTAATGGGAACATGCAATAGAAACATAACAAGGTGACAAAACTTCCTTCATGATCAACTAGATGAAATTTATTCTGATTCTTCAAAGCATCTACTTTTTTTTTTTTTTTCTTTTTTTCCCTTTAGTATTTAGATTTGCAAAAAATTTGTTACTTGTATCAAAAAAGAAGAAAGGCCAATTATACAGCAAAATGGATCCAACAACAGCAGGCCATATTTTCAGACTGGACTGCCAAACAATTAAAAAGGAAAAAAATAAAAACCTATAAATTCCTAAAAATAAACATTATTTTCAAGACACCAATCAAAATTCAAGCAAATGCATTAAAAGAAATGAAAGAGAAAGAGGCTCTCACAGGTAGAGGAGAGTCAGTGGCCTTAAAATACCCAAACATCCTCTTGTAATCAACTGGGTTAAGAGCTGCAGCAACCACCTTGATGAGCACCTGGTCTTCCTTTATTTCAGGAACCGGAACATTGGGATCAAGTTTCAAAACATCTGCAGCCTTTCCATATTCTGAGTACACCCAAGCCTTGTTTACAGAGGGTATGGAATCAGTTGAAGCTGCAGCCATTGATGACTAAAATGCACAGAAAAACCAAACTATTGAGGGGAATTGAAGGGTTTTCTTCTTGTAAGCAGATGAGTGTGATGAGCAAACAAACTCAGATAGCTCTTCCACTTTAATAGAAAGAGATCAATGTCAACCAGGTCAAGGACCTATGAGACCCTGACAGCGTGTCGTTTTGTTGGTGAAGGAGAAGAATGTGGCCATAGAAAGAAGAAAGGAAAAATAAATTTCAAATTATGCATCTGGATGCATATTATGACTCAGGTTCATTGTGCCAGAAGAGAACAGGACAATTCAATTGGAAAACCTTTTTTTTTTTGACATTTGCTCTTGCTGCCTTCAAAATCAAAACCCATGCATCATTGCTTTGCTATTATATATTTTTAACTCCACTGGATGTTATGTTTGACACTTCAACAACAGATGCTCTCATGAATTAAAGATTGCGAAAGAAAACTAAGACAAACTGAAAGAGGAAGAAGGTGGTGGATCCCACCGGCGGCGGGGTGGAGGCTGGTGAAAGAACATTTATCGAATTATATAATGGTCCATCATGTACATATATTATTAGTTAGAAGATGGTGGATTTCATAATTGTTATGTTATCAAACATAATATAATCTTTTGATGGATTTCCTTTGTCTGAATCCATAGTGGAATATCTCTGTCTCTGTGTGTAACTGGTAAACTTGTACAACAACAATAAAAAAACAAAAGAAGGGAAGAAGATTTTGGCTAAACAATAAAAAGGTCAAGGGGAACCACCTTAGCCAAGGTGTTTTCGATCCTTATTACATTGCAGCAAAACAAGTAACGAAAAACAAAGCAAGTAGCATGAAAAACAAGTAACTAAACTCCAACTTATGTTTCTCACATTCCCTTCTTCATATTTTATTTTATTTATGAGGATCTCATATATATTTACATGTGTGTGCGCACATGCTCGCTTGCCAAACTCAACTCTGTATCTCATGGGGATGGGATGGGATACACAACCACCTTTCCTATAGCTCTGCTACTAGCTTCAATATAGGCAAATGCTTCAAGGGTCTTTGAAAAGGGACATGGGCCATTGGGATCAATCACTGCCTTCACCTTCCCACTCTCCAAGTAAGGGTTGAGTTTCTCCAAGATAGACCCAGAAGAAGTCAGCGTAAACATGAAGGCTGGTGGTGTTATTGGATCTACCACTGCCACAACCTTCCCCCCCTCTTTCACCTCCTTCATTGCCCTATCCGACTGCCCTGTTTTGTTCATTTCCAAACCATGAAAATAGTTAAACCATAAATTAATAAATAAAATGAAGAATGAATTATATCCATATTGAAGTGTTTTGTTTTGATATATCAGCAGAGAAAGGAACAGCAATGAAGAAATTATGAAGAATGTTCAAATATTTACCAACTGCATCATAGACTACATCAAAATTTTCAGGCAGGTCTTCGAAGTTGTCCTTCGTATAATCAATGGCAAGATCAGCACCCAAGCTCCTCAACCAATCCAGTTTTTTAGTGCTTGTGGTAGCTGCCACTCTGGAAGCACCAAAAACATGCTTTGCTAGACATCAAGTATTTGACAATTAGTCATACTTAATTAGAGCAAGCAAGATCATTGAAGCCTAAATTAATGGAATATGTGCCCTTCTTGACTAATTCCATATTATATTAGAAATAAAAGTATTGATTACATACCTGAATAACATGGGTTCCTACACCCCCAGCACCTCCTAAAACAAGAATGGATTTACCAGCTGAAATTTCAGCTCCTTCGAGCCCTTCATAGGCGGTCTCAATAGCCACAGGAAGGCTAGCAGCCTCAGCAAAACTCAGATTTTCGGGTTTCACAGCCAACAATGTTTCTTCCACAGCCGTGTACTCTGCTAACGACCCAATTTTCTTTAGGTTTATTAGACCTTGCTCATTGATAGTCCTATATACTTCATCCCCGCCTTAAATTTCCTTGCTTGGCTTCCAAGCTTCACCACAACACCAGCAACATCATACCCTGGAACTGTCTGCAAAATAAATATTCAAAAAAAGACAAAGAAAGTTACAAATACAGCCATTAAAGAAATGGAAAAGAGAAACTGAGAGGCAGCAAGCTCACAGGTAGAGCACTGTCAGTGTCCTTGAAATACCCAAGAAGCCTCATGTGATCAATGGGGTTAAGTGCTGCAGCAGCCACCTTGATGAGCACCTGGTCTTCCTCTACTTGAGGAGGAGGCATGTTTGGATCAAGTTTCAACATATCTGCCGGTTTTCCGTACTCCATGTAAACCCAAGCCTTGTTTACAGAGGGAAGGTTTGCTTCGGCAAGCCATATTGTGTACAAGAAAGAAACTATATGTTCTTTCTATTTGCGATGGAAAGAGGGACGGAAAACTGGGTATTCATTTAAAAGTTCGAAGTTTGCCAAAGACCCAAACTTTTTTGGGTTCACCAAAGCATTCTCATTGAGATCCCCATATACTTCATCCCCCACCTTAAACTTCGTCACTTGGCTTCCCACCTTCACCACAACACCAGCAACATCATACCCAGGAACCGTCTGCAAAACAAATTGATTTAATAAAAAAGAATTCTAGCTACGTTCTTTGTCACTTGCTTGCCCAGCTGGATTACTAGTAACACTAAGCATGCTAATTGAAAAGACACTGGAACATGCAATGGAAACATATCAAGGTAACAGAAGTTCCTTCCAGATCAACTAGATGAAATTGAATTTGATTCTTCAAAGCAGCTTCCTTTTTCTCAAGTATTTTGATTTCCACAAAATTGACCAAAAACATGATCACTTGTATCAAAAAGAAAAAAAAGAGAGGCAATTATACAGCAAAATGGATCCAACAACACCAGGCCATCTTTTCAAACAAACAAACAAAATGGATCAACCAACAAACAAAAAAGAAAAAGGAAAACCTATAAAATCCTAAGGATTAACATTATTTTTAAACCCCCAATTCCAAATACAAACACATGCATTAAAAGAGAATGAAAGAGAAAGAGGCTCTCACACAGGTGGAGTAGAGTCGATCTCCTTGAAATACCCAAGCATCCTCTTGAAATCAATTGGGTTAAGAGATGCAGCGACCACTTTGATGAGCACCTGGTCTTCCTTTATTTCAGGCACAGCAACATTGGGATCAAATTTCAAAACATCTGCAGACTGTCCATATTCTGAGTACACCCAAGCCTTGTTTATAGAGGGTATGGAATCACTTAAAGCTGCAGCCATCGATGATTGTTGCACAGAAAAACCAAACTTTCAGGGAAATTGAGGGGTTTTCTTCTTGTAAGCAAATGAGTGAGATGAGTAGACACACTGAGACTCGGATGGGAGGGAGGAGACCTTGACAGCGTGCCGTTTAGAAAGAAAAAGAAAGAAACTCGAAATAAGGGTTTTCGCAGCTATGATCTCTCAACTATACCTTAATTGCATTTGGGTCACTGAACTCAATTATTAGTTGCAGAGGTCACTCAACTATGTGTTTCGTTGCACCGTTAGTCCCTACTGTCAAGTCTCTCTAACGGAAGAGACTAATGGTGCAACACAACACTTACTTGAGTGACTTCTATAACTATTTTTTGGAGTTAAGTGATCAAAATGTAACTCTGAGTATAGTTGAGGGATCATTGCTACAAATAATCCTAATTGAAAAGTCACATTTGCCCATCAATAATTGGATAGATTTTACCATGTCATCATTTTAAACTGAAAAAACTAACGGATTTTACAGAAGGACTGCTGGTGTAACGAAACACATAGTTGAGTGACCTCTGCAACTAATAATTGAGTTTAGTGACCCAAATGCAATTACTGGTATAGTTGATGGACCATAGCTGCGAAAAATCCCTCGAAATTATGAATTTAGATACTTTATCACTTGTGGTTCATCTTTTTTTATTATATTAGTATTATCATTATCATTAGTATATCTAAATTAGTATGAGTAATGCTACACTTATCACATTTTTATCCCATATTTCTATACCACATGATGTGGCATGTCCATTTTATATGCCACATCAATTAAATCAATGAAGTGCATTTTAATTAAGGCAATTAGAAAAACAAATACTTGAATAAACCATAAAAGAAAAGAAAATATTAAATCATTTTAATTGATGTGGTTGTCCACCTCAGCTGCCACATAAGGTGGTATGAGAATGTGGTATACAAATGTGGTAAGAGTAGCATTATTCAATTAGTATTTATAGGGAGATTCTCCAATAAGTATTTTATATTAAGAATTTGTCACATATTTCTATTTTTGGCTGTTGAATTGCATTCATTAAATGTGTTGGTACTTGGTAGTCTCTTAGATATAATCCAACGACCGAAACTAGAACTATATAACAAATCTTTAACTTAAATACTCATTGGAGAATCTCCCAGCATTTAGTGAGATAGAATTGTAACATGGCAGAGACATGCCAGTCAACCTTTTTTAAATATACAACATGGATCCTAGCTATACAATATAGTTAGACTCTCATGTCGATCCAAGTGAATGGAGAATTCTCCAATAAATATTTTATGTTAAGGATTGATTACATATTTCTAATCTCAATATAATATATATTGCATATTAAATTTACTAACACATATAATAAATGCAATTCAACAGCCGTAATAAATGCAATTCAACAGCCGAAATAAGAAATACGTAACAAATCCTTAACTAAGGAATTATCCTTTTTATGAAAGTAAATCTTTGTAAACTAGGCTAGAGAATAGCAAGTTACAAATCCTGTCATAGAACAGAACAATGCACTTCGAAAAAAGTTTAATTTCTTCTTTTTCTTACTTTCCACAAGTCTGCCCATATACATATGCAAAACTCCCAACTTCATATTATAATATATATATATATATATATATATATATATATAAGCATCTCACATCCCCATTACTACAACACTAGGTTTACACAACCCGCAGATTAGATATACATAACCCACAAACTGACTGATTGCCTGCCTGCCTGCACAATCTCTTCCATCTTTCTTATGGGATGGGATGCACAACCACCTTCCCTGTAGCCCTGGAGGTTTCAAGGTAAGCAAATGCTTCAACAGTCTTGGAAAAGGGATATGGGCTTGTGGGATCAAGCACCGGCTTCACCTTCCCACTCTCCAAGTATGGCTTCAGCTTCTCCAATATAGTCCCAGTTGAAGTCAGTATAAATATGAAGGCCGCTGCTGCTACTGGACCTGGTACTATTGTCACTACCTTCCCTCCTTCTTTCACTGCCTTCACTGCCCTGTCAGACCCCTTTTTTTTTTTTTTTTTTTTTTTTTTTTTTTTTTTTTTTTTTTTTCATCATATAATAATATCAGTCTTTGATTCATTCCTGGTAAATAAATAAACTAATAGATTCCCCTGTTGGTAGGTGCATGCCATGTATGGATTACATAATGTATAGAATTGTTGAGAAACCAGAATGAAGAATCTTACCAACTGTATCATATACCACATCAAATTTCTCAGGCAGTTCTTCATACTTCTCCTTGGTGTAGTCGACAGCCAAATCAGCACCCAAGCTTCTCAACAGCTCCAGTTTTCTAGTGCTTGCAGTTGCTGCTACTTTTGAAGCACCAAAAACATGCTTTGCTAGCTGCCCAAATTAGTGGAAATGTTTGCACTTCTTAACTAATTCCATGTAAAGATTGAGTTATATAAAGCATGAGGACATTTTGGAAATAGAAATCAAACTACTTTACCTGAACAACATGCGTTCCCACTCCCCCAGCGCCTCCTAAAACAAGAATGGATTTACCAGCAGAAAATTCAGTTCGTTCAAGCCCTTCATAGGCAGTCTCAATAGCCAGGGGAAGGCTAGCAGCTTCAACAAAACTCAGATTTTGGGGTTTGAGAGCCAAAACTCTTTCTGCTGCAGCAGTGTACTCTGCCAAAGACCCAAACCTTGTTGGGTTCTCCAAAGCTTTCTCATTCAGATCCCCATATACTTCATCCCCCACCTTAAACTTCGTTACTTGGCTTCCCACCTTCACCACCACACCAGCAACATCATACCCGGGAACCGTCTGCAAAACAAATTGATTCCAGCTGATTACTAGGAATATAAACATGCAATAGAAACATAACAAGGTGACAAAACTTCCTTCATGATCAACTAGATGAAATTTATTCTGATTCTTCAAAGCATCTACCTTTTTTTTTCTTTTCCCCTTAAGTATTTAGATTTGCAAAAAATTTGTTACTTGTATCAAAAAAGAAGAAAGGCCAATTATACAGCAAAATGGATCCAACAACAGCAGGCCATATTTTCAGACTGGACTGCCAAACAATTAAAAAGGAAAAAAAATAAAAACCTATAAATTCCTAAAAATAAACATTATTTTCAAAACCCCAATCAAAATAGATACAAGCAAATGCATTAAAAGAAAATGAAAGAGAAAGAGGCTCTCACAGGTAGAGAAGAGTCAGTGGCCTTAAAATACCCAAACATCCTCTTGTAATCAACTGGGTTAAGAGCTGCAGCAACCACTTTGATGAGCACCTGGTCTTCCTTTATTTCAGGAACAGGAACATTGGGATCAAGTTTCAAAACATCTGCAGCCTTTCCATATTCTGAGTAAACCCAAGCCTTGTTTACAGAGGGTATGGAATCAGTTGAAGCTGAAGCCATTGATGACTAAAATGCACAGAAAAACCAAACTTTGAGGGGAATTGAAGGGTTTTCTTCTTGTAAGCAAATGAGTGATATGAGTAAACACACTCAGATAGCTCTTGGACTTTAATACAACCATGTCATCATGGGAGGGAGGACCTATGAGCCCTTGACAGCGTGTCGTTTTGTTGATGAAAGAGAAGGACGTGGAAGCTGGATATTTACATACGTGGCCATAGAAAGAAGAACGGAGAAAAAACACTTGAAATTATGCATCGGGATGCATTACTGCTTGAGAACAACGCTTCTTGTTTTTCTTATGGTTCACACGCACCGTAAGAAAAATAAGAAAGAAAGAAAAGAAAAACCAGTACTTTTTAAGTTTGCCTTTTGGAGTATGGTTAGTAGAAAAATGGGTGCAAAAAAACAGACCCATCTAAAATTTGGAATTGTACTTAGTTGATGTGTTAATATCCAGCCCAATTGTCAGCATATATCATCTCTCTCATTGTCCATATATACACATGCCCATATGTTCCATTCTGCGAGTCTTGCAGAACCAAGCCCATTGGCCACTCCATTTTTCTTTTTGGATCCAACATTGCCAGGATAGATTGGGTTAACTGTGATCCTCTCTCTTTCCTATTATGCAGGTATCTGTTAGGAGTTACTGTTATAAGTTAACAATTACGCAACTCTTAATAATCTTAAATTGTCCAAAAACACATTGTGCCAAATCATCCATGAATCATGACGCAGATGCAACATAAAAGTAACTTTCTCTACATAATTTGCAACATTTCTTAAAAATTAAGTGACTTTTTAACTGTCCATCTAATCTAACTCAGTAAATCTGTAAGTATATGAAGAACTAGATGGATTTCAGGGTACAAAGTTTGTAACCAGAGATGAGGGAGCTGGAGGCAAAGGCAAGAAAGGCAAGGAAGGACAATGCTACAGCCGCACGAGCCATATCTGGGAACTTGTCTTTGCCCCAATTCGACTCCCAGTCGTCAGCCCGAATTGCAGCGGATGAAGATGCCGATATCAAAAGGTATGTCAAAATCTGCCATGCCAAATTCCACATTAAGTTATATATAATATAGCATACAACAGGTAATCAGAATGCAGAATTCCACCTCTGTTCTAGAAAAAACCTGTCTGCCAAGTTTCACAAGTGCGACAAATTTTTTTTTTCCAAAAATCAAAATTATGGTGTAATTAATTAAGCTAATTTTATGTTTTGCTATATAAGATGAGGTAAATTTTCTACCAATGGATACAGTTTTAAACAGAGAAAGCAAAAAGTTGAATCATTACTGTGGAAAAAGGCCAGAAAAAAAGGTGCTCAAAAGGTATTGAAAGAAAAAGTCAAGAACCAACTGATCCAAATTTATCTGATGATGCGATTCCGTGTGGGACAATGGCCAATATGTGAATAATAAACATCATGAATCATCAACAACAAACCAACAACAAAAAGGAAAAAAAGTATAGTAAACCAATAAGTAAATGACCATCCAAGTGCTGAAGGACCACCTTCATAGGCTGTGGTCCCCATAATTATCAGAAAAATGCCGAGAGAGAGAGAGAGAGAGAGAGAGAGAGAGAGAGAGAGAGAGAGAGCAAACACTTCCTGTAGCATAAAATAATCAAAGACGAGGGGCCAGGGGAGGGCGTGTGCATGGGGCTACGTTAGGTAGGATAATTAGTTAATGTAAGAGCCTCTTGTTTATACATACACAAAGAGTCAAAGACTTGTGAGACTTGCCTGATCCATCAAGAAATCAAAGTAATGGCGGAGATGAAGCTGCATTACATGTTTTCCGCTGGTGAAGAAATAGGTTAAGTCATAGGTTTGCAGCCCTGAATACACAAATCCTATCACATTCACTGCCAAGCAGTACCTACAAATTCACAATTCCAATTAATAATCTCCTTATAATCCCCCAAACCCACATACCATTTTTGCCCAAAAACAAAAAAGAAACTAAATAATTCAACAAAATGACTCTAAAATTGTATAGTTCAAAGCTTTGTTTATGTTGCAACAAGTCATCAGACAGAAACTGACAGGGCATAAAAACCAGAGTAAAAAAGTAGGCAACACTTTTGTCGTGAAACAGAGGGAGGGGCTGACAATTGACAGACCTGAATTCCTTGTACCGATAGTAGGAATCTAAAGCCCAACCCTGGTTCTTGTCAGCCGCCATAATCGAGAAAGAGATCAAGCAGAACACAAACCCAGAAATCCTAAATCCAAGCAAAGCCCTCCTCACCATGTTCTCCCTCCTCGACCTGTTCAATATCGATAAGTTGGCTCTCAAAATTCGCATCTTTACACCACCACCATTAGTACCAGTAGCAGTAGCACCACCACTTTCTTCTTGAACCTCTGCGAGCCCAGAAAACCCAACTTGTGGTTTGGGATCCACGACCTTGGGCTCGACCTTGAAAGACTGGGCCGGCACGGCCGGTGGCGATGCCGGCTTGGTGTCTGAAGGTGTGACTCTGAACTCATGAGTGTGGTAGGCTTGATGGGTTGAGTGTGTTGTTAGAGAATCGGATGGTGGAGATGGGGACTGGAACAGAGGAGGTGAATAAGACTTGATAGCGGGTGGTGTTTCTGAGATGCTATTTCTTTTCTTTTCTTCTTCTTCTTCTTTGTCTTGGGGTGCTGGTTGGTTTTCTGTTTTCATATTCTGAGTCGGAGATTGAGATGGAGAGGAAGTTGAAGAACGGGTTTCTTCTGCATCCATAACTTGACAGTTTTCCGTTTCTTCAAGACTTCAATTTGAGAACCCTGTAAATAAAAAGGAGATTTGACTTTGAGAGCCTCCTAAAGTTAAACTAAAAGTTACTTGTTACTTCCACATTCCCAAAACTTGTTCATGTTGCTTTCAGAGTTGGTGTCAATTGGACCACCACCACAGACGCAGCCAAGCGCTAAAACTGGTAGCCAAAGGTTCTGGGCGGTGTGTGGTGGGGGCAATAGAAAAAAACACAAGTAAATTCCATTTGAGCAGTAAATTTATTTTCCTTTTCTTTTCCCCTTTTTTTTTTTTGGACATAAATGAGTATATATTATTTATACAGGTATCAAAACAACACTGAATAATCTTACAACAGCATCATGCACTAACTACTACATACTGCCTCTGGCTGGTCCTCAACTTCTCCTATGGCCAAATCATTCACTTCATTGACTGCTAGCCTCCGCAGTCTTGAAATACCAATGACTGATCAAATTTAATATTTATGTATCAAAGACTGCGCATAATTATTTATGTTATCAGAAGACCACCGAGGAGAATGTTTTGCTCAGTCTCTTGTAAAGAATTCCCGGGCTTCATGGTACTGTTCTAAGACAACATTGAAGAGGGGATGTATTGGTTCCAACAAATTGGAATAGGAACCCATTAATGCTCTAGGCAACACTGGAGAGTCTTCTTCATCCGACCACATATGTTGGCATACAGAGAGACCACTCAGACAATAGCATGTGTGGTAGAAATCCCTAGATAGCCCAGGTTTGTCTTTCATCCCACCCTTCTCCTCCTGCATCGACCAGATCAAAATTAAAACATTAACCCCTGGGGAGCAAGAAATCTGTAAATTGAGATGCAATATTAAGCTAATGCGCAAACTAATGGGACGCAATATTAAGCTAATGAGCAATCCATTCGAAAACCAATCCAGTCAAGCATCCAGTTATCACAGAATGGAGCTATATTCGAAAACCACACCTGTGAGCATAAAAGTATGTATTGCTGCAATGCCAGGCTGTGAAAAAGTGGCTCCATTTCTATAGGCCTCTTGACAAAATTATAACCGATATCATTGAAATTCACTGCACAGGGAGCATTCATCCATTCATACAAGAACAAAAAGATTATAAGATAACTGCACAACACATAAAACTATAACACAAAATAGAAAACACGGGTATAAAAAAGCAAATGAATCGGGTAAATAATAGATAGCCAAAAACCTTAAACTTGTCTAAGTCAACCTACCTTCCTGCCTAGAATGGCAAGCATCATCAACATGAGATGAAGTGCCTTCAAAACCTTCCCCCACTTCAGATATACTAGATGTACACTGTCCTCCAGCGTCCGGTAGCACGAGTTGTTCATCAATAATTGAACGCACTCTTTGTAATAATGGAAAAACACCTCCCTGGTCAATTAATATAAATAATTCAACTATGACTCAAAAGGATCCCCAAGAAAATAAAGAAAAAGGCAGAGAATTACCTGCCAAAAGGAGTAGCAACCATCAACCAATTTATTAGTCCTCCCCTGAAATCCACACTCCTTCCCTTGTCGAAATACCAACCAATCCTAATACAATAGCCAACTACTCAAACAGAAGAATAAAAGGCTTCTAGAAGAATACTGATCCAATTTGAATATTTATGATCATCTGCATATCACTACACAAAATAGATGCGAAGTTTTCTTACAATTAGTCTGGGCAAGTCCAAACGATTGATCTGATTGATTAGAATCATTGTAGCCACCCCACAAAAGGTATACCTGAAGAAAAAAAATTGTCCGATCTATGAAAGGCCTTACCAAATGTCCACGACATGCACCCATGTATGTTGAGAGGTGAGTGGATGGGAAATGGAAAAGGAAGCCAGAATATATTACCCTAAAATTTCACATAATCTGACAAAGTAATATACAATCTTCAGAATAGGTACACGGTAAAGGACATATAGGCAGACAGACAATTTAACATGTGCGTGGATGGAATAGGAAACCTAAAAGTTCACAGAGATTTTTGCTGGTACATCTGAAATCGCATTACTCAGTAGTATAAAAAACTAATACTCAAACTCATGATTCCACTTCATCCACATAACCAGGAAAAGAGGCTATTGATGTTGACATTTATCATATTTAAACATTTATGAGTCTGAAAATTACCCGCCATGAGCTTCAGAACCAGGTTCCCCAGAAATGCCACCTTCATAAGTCTGGCAACTGCAAAGGGAAAAATTTTAATTTATCCAATATATAATGCCATTCATATCAACAAGGCAAGCTTCAGTCAATGACTCAATCAAATGAAGCCAACAGGAAGAACGTTACTAAAGAACATCAAAGACAAAAAATATATACATAATGCAAAAATAACTAGGTACGTTAAAGTGTGAACTGAGCTAAATTTCCAATTAAATTAAAGACTAGGTAAGAAACCTTAAGATGAAACTTCCAACATTATGAACCAGTTCATCATCCAAAATGTTCAAAATACTTGCTACCTGCAAGAATGAGTAAAAACGTCATCATGAAAAATACAAAACCATATTGTAAACGAAGAACAGAACTATAATGCATTAAAAAGGATGTGCACACTAAGAATCTGCACCAATGTCTTTGTGTGTGTATTAGAGAGACGGAGGGAGAGAGAGACTAACAGAAATCGCAGTGTAGCAAGCCCGGACATCAATTTCTCCACCATCATGCATCCTAAGGAAAAGTAATTAGCGCTGGTAAAAGCAATATCAAGGTTACTGAAATTTTCATTGCACAAATATATGCCCTCGTGCAAGTAAATAAGCACCAAAAAATTCTTTGCAAATTTTGCATATTACAGACAGATAAAGGCAACACAAACTCAAATACTGATCAAAACAAAAACTGTAAGGCTGCATGGAGAGAGAGAGAGAGAGAGAGAGAGAGAGAGAGAGTTGGGATGTTGAAAGGAATCAAATACGGTTCCAAGTGAAGTATACATTTAGGAAATTTTAGTCATAATCTAATCTCAAAATAGAAAACCACACAGATTAATGTGATATCTAACCTGAAGCCACCGCTTGGATGTTTCATTTGCTGCAGAAACTTGTATAGTTCACCTCTGAAAAGAAATAATGATGTCAAATCACTTCCAAAAAGCTTGGAAATGCACTGTTGTAAAAGAAGTTTTTTATTTTTATTTGAAGGAGCCTAAACTGACCACCTATTAATTGATGAGAGAGCTTGATCACCACCGACAGTTATGAGTGCATTGATTGCAGCATAAGTTGTTGCCAGATGTGGCAGCTGAGAAAACATTGAACACGTAAACTATTGTAAGCAAAAGACTGCATGATATAGTAGAACGGACAAGTAATTCTGTATAATTCTAGCTCTTGAAATGGAAGCAACCAAGAAATTTAAGGTTGGAAGTAGCAGTTCTCGTCAAGCTATTACAAATAACACCAACAGAGTTCAACAAAGATATAGTGAGAGCATTTACTTGCCTGTCCAGGTCCGCCGCCATATCCACCACTTGGGTCCTGGAAGCAAAAGAAAGCTCCATGAGAACTTAAACTTACCATTCCATGCCAACACAAAAAGATGGCAAACTAAAGCACCGGCCTTTCAATTATGTTCCATTTAAGCAATGTGAGATTGTCAACACAACTCCCAATCGGTTATATTCACATACCTGGCAACGGCTAAGGAAGTCAATGGTGTTATGTTCCAGTTCGTCATCAACAGACTCCCCTAGTAAAGCCAAAGAATGCAGAATCCAATAGCACAGCCAAGGCCGACTGAAAACAAATGTACATGTCATAAAAATGAAAACTTCAATGAAAACGAGCCTTAAAATTCAGCTCAGAATCACCAGGAGAGAGAGAGAGAGAGAGAGTATACCTGGCATCCAAAGTGCAGAATGAGGGATGGAGTTGTCTGAGGCCTCTCGTTAAGTACTCTATGTGATTATCACGCTGAAGTTCGATCCTTTAAAATCAACACCCAAACAAAACACCATTTAAATTTCTAGAACCAACCCCAAAAAATAAATAAATAAATAAAAAACAATTTGTTTCTAAACCCTAGGATTGATTGAGAGTGAAAAGTATGGAGCTTTATTACATTACGGATTGGGCGTTGGGGGGAAGGTTGCCAAAGAGATCGTATATCCGAAAGACCTGACTCTCCACCTTCCATTGATCGTGCTGAGTCACTGTTGCAACCGGAAGCTCCATCTCCATCTCCATCGCCCTCCCTGACCCTCCACAGAAATTCAGCGTCTTGCAGTTCGAGTACACTTCACACTACTTCCACATACGCACACAAAAAAAACCCAAGTTTAATTTGGGCTTAGTTTGTTAAAGTTGTGAAGTTTGGCGCCTGAAAACTGAGCCCAAGTATAGTGGGCTGTCACAAGAAGCCACAGAGTTCAGATTATTTGTACATCCCACAACACAGTTGTGAACAGCTAATGGTGTCTCTGTCGGTGCCGCCTCAATGCCACCTCAACCTCCACAAGATAAGATAAAGGCAACTAGAGTAATTCCCATGTGGTCCAATAGAGGATGCATCTGCCACGTAAGAGAAGATTGTGATATCATGATTGTGATTGTGATTGTGATTAGCTTGTTGATTACTATCAATTTCGAATTCGCCTGTTAACAATTCAAGTTCAAGTACGAGTTGGACACCTGAGATGAGTGAATTATTAGTCACTTCACCTCCCCCAGTTGCATATCCGTGTCGGGTAAGTGAGCGAGTGCCTCTGGGCTTTTGGTTGGGCATTTGTTGACCAAAGCCATATGTACCTCCAAACAGCTTTCATCAAAAGTCACTGCAAAGACACAGAGGCGATCGACAAATTGAAATTAAATTAAAGCTACCCTGCATACGTGAGTGAGTTAGGTAAATTAGTTAGAATAACGACTTCTAATTTTTTAAGTTTGAATCTCCTCCCACAGTTTAGATTAATTTAGATTACTTCCACTAAGAAATTTGTAGATAGAGTTCACCCATTTTAAGAACCATATGTCTTATACATATAGGTGAGTGTATAAAAAATTAGCGAGCGAAAAAAGAAGTGTGGGAAGTTGCATTATTTCATCTCTCTAAGTAAAAATGCAACAAGACTTGCTCTTTTTCTGAGACACAATTACTGCCCAGCACGGTAGGAAGGACCATCTTTTGGGTTCGGACATTTGCCAAAAGGAAAAACAGAGTGTTTTCCGACAAGCACACTGTACACGTGCGTAGCATGCATAGGAAAACATGAGGTTCACGATGCGAAAATACCAAAGTCTAGAAGGGAAGAACAAATAAAAATAAGGAGCGTTTCGTCGTCCCCACCAGATAACAAAGAAAAGTTTGAGTGAGCGACTGAGATTAGTTTGCTTTGCTTATTATAAATAAATGGGAAGAGGGCTTTGAGTTGCAGACAGAGGCTTCTCTACTTGTCTTCAGACTTTATATCACTTTAATTTCTGATTTCTTCTGAGGCTTTGGTGACCAATTTTAGCAGGAAATTCATAAGGAACATGGCGATGAAGGGTGTGATTGCATCTGCCGTTCGAACTCTTGCTTCATCAGGGAGCTCAGCATCATCAACCACCTTCACCAGGCACCTCCATGTAAGCAATTTTTATAATTTCAAATAATTATTCCAGCAATTAATTGTAATAATTGAGCTTAATTCTGTAAGTGTTGATCAGGATATGCTACCTAATTATAAGCCCCATCTTACAAGCTGCTTCCTTTTCCCTCCAATTTTTTTAATGAGAAAAAATCCGGTTGATCACCTTTAAATAAACTATTCTTGGCCTGGTGTTTTTTTGTTTAATTTTTTTTAAAATATATATATATATATATATATATTTTTTGGGTCCTATTGATTTGCTTTCACTATAATCAGGCATCTGCTGGAAGCAAAAAGATTGTTGGGGTGTTTTACAAGGCCAATGAATATGCAGAACTGAACCCCAATTTTCTGGGTTGTGAGGAGAGAGCGCTGGGCATAAAGGACTGGCTGGAATCACAAGGCCACAAGTATATTGTCACTGACGACAAAGACGGACCAGATTGTGGTTAGTGCATATAAATCTAGTACCTTGTTTTTGTATACTAAAAAAATTATGATAAGCTTGTCCTGGTAGCATGTTCGTGGCCTTGAAATTTGCCTAAGCTTGTTCTTGAAGTTGTTCATACTTCAAACTAATGACAATTTTCGTCTTTTGCTGCATTATATGCAGAACTTGAGAAACACATTCCAGATCTCCATGTTCTCATATCAACCCCCTTCCATCCTGCCTATGTCACTGCTGAAAGGATCAAAAAGGCCAAGAATTTGCAATTGCTTCTCACGGCCGGAATTGGTTCTGATCATATTGATCTGAAGGCTGCTGCTGCTGCTGGATTAACAGTTGCAGAGGTCACAGGAAGCAATGTGGTTTCGGTTGCAGAAGACGAGCTCATGAGAATCCTCATTCTTGTGCGGAACTTCGTGCCCGGGTACACTCAGATTGTTAATGGGGAGTGGAAAGTTGCAGGTATTGCCCACAGAGCTTATGATCTGGAAGGAAAGACAGTGGGGACTGTTGGTGCTGGACGTATTGGCAAGCTTTTGCTCCAAAGGTTGAAACCTTTCAACTGTCATCTCCTCTATCATGACCGGTTCAAGATTGACCCAGAATTGGAGCAACAGATAGGGGCTAAGTTTGAGGAGGATCTGGATGCAATGCTTCCAAAATGTGATGTTATTGTTATCAACACACCCCTTACTGAGAAAACAAGGTAATAAGTCAAGGCTCATCTTCTGGCTCTTCTTTTTCTTTGTTTTATTCTTATTTCTTTATTTCTTGATAGAGACCAGACTAATCTTCTGACTTTATTACTATATAATTGTGTTAGTAGCTATCTATGGCTAACAAGCTGATAAGATCTATACTTGTGTGTTATGGACTTATGCCAAGACTAATCTTCTGACTTTATTTTTAAAATTTAAGATTTTCTGATTAAAGAGACCAATCTTCAGATATTAATATCAAATTGTGTTTAGCACCTCATCTGCTGCTAACAAACTGATAGGATGAATACAACCATGTACAATCTTCTCTTTTTCCCCTGCTTCCTTGAGGGATGCATGTACAGTGAATGTGTTCTAATTTAATAGAATTTTGATATTTGTGATTCAGAGGGATGTTTGAAAAGATAGAATTGCACACTGTAATACTATTCAAAGCATTGAGATGTGAATTAAACTTATTGGATACTGATCTTTTGACTCAGAGGACTGTTTGACAAAGAAAGAATTGCAAAGTGTAAGAAGGGAGTCCTGATCGTTAACAATGCTCGAGGGGCAATCATGGACACACAGGCAGTTGTTGACGCTTCCTCCAGTGGACATATTGCAGGTAACTCATAATCAGGTCCAAATTATTGAATTTTTAAGAATGGAGAAAACTGTTTGCAGTTCATAATTCTAATGTTCCTCTACCATTTTTCTGGTAGATTATATTTAAAAGAATATGTGATGTTTATAGAAATTTCCTTATCTGAACCACTTAAGAAGACAGCATGAAAGAACATATTCTTCTAATTCTCATGACTCCAATTTGACTTCAAATTCTCATTCCTTTGTTTGTGAATGAAAAAACAGGTCTGTCATGAGATGCATAAGAAGAATGTATAGATTATCTAAAAGGTTACTTAACGGAAGAAAAAAGGTCCATGTCAATGCACTCTTTCGACTTTGGCTAATTATTTAATTTGCTTCTATGATTTGCCAGGTTACAGCGGCGATGTTTGGAATCCACAACCAGCTCCGAAAGACCATCCATGGCGTTACATGCCAAACCATGCTATGACCCCTCATATATCTGGTACCACAATTGATGGACAGGTACATTTAGCTTTTAGTCATGTTCTCCTCTACGCTTGTGGTTTCACTTCATTTGTTCCCCTTCCTTCCCACAACTCAAACTGATGATGGAATTTGTGCAGATACGTTATGCTGCCGGTGTTAAGGACATGCTTGACAGGTACTTCAAGGGAGAAGACTTTCCTGCACAAAACTACATTGTCAAGGACGGTAAAATAGCAAGCCAGTATCAGTAATAAATTCGGTGCTTGTGATAAAGTCGGCTAGTTCGTGTTCTCTTGCAGACACTAACTATGTGAGCTCCTCCTAAATAATGTAGCCGAAACTGAGAGCTTTTTATAGGGTCTGTGCACCCAATGTTTTTCTTTTTTCCTTTTTCTGTTGTAGTTTCCTCCTTGTGAGTGTATGCTGCCTGGATGGACAGTTTCCCTTTCAATAATAAGAACTTGTTAGCTATTGGTACTTATCTTTTTACACTTTTATCCATTCCTATTTCATCTCAAAATTAATTAATGAAAATAAATTAAAGTCTAATTTTGTTTATTCATAACACAAAAAGGAAATAAGAAAAATGGAAAAGTCAATCTGGACGTGACCACTAGTTTTGAAGATGTGCACGGATAAGATTAGTTCATAAAATGTGGAAGATCAAACGGCCATTCGTCCAGTAAGCTTTCGTTTCAAAAGGCGATTTCGACGGTCACCAAATACCACCACCACATACCATCTCACTAGTGTAAAAACAACACAAAGAAAAAAAGAGCCAAAACCAAAACTAAATTCACCTCTCTCTCTCTCTCTCTCTCTCTCTCTCTCGATCTGCAATTTGTTCTCTCTCTCTCTCTAAACGGTAAATTTCAAGACTCAATCCTTTCTGCATTTGCTTCTTAATTTTCATTCAATCCTCTTTTGTTTACCTGGAAACGGCTGAAAGTATAAGGAAGGTAAGAACATTTCTTATTCAGGATTCTGAGTTGTTGTTTCAAGGATCAGATATTGTCTTTCAGAAGAAAAGAAAAAGTTATTAGCTTTCCTTTTTTAGCTTCTCACTTTTATTAGTTTCTGCTGTGTTCATCATCATTCATCACGGTCTACATTCTAAATGACAGTGTGACAAATGTTATAATTTGAAAATAAAAAGAAACAAAGATAGTTGTTACATTGCATCTGTATTAAAATTGCGACTGCTTGAATTCGTTGCGATTATCGGGTTCATTTTGTTTTCTTAAGTTTTATGAAAGTTTCTCGTGGCAAATGTGGCTAACTTGAAGTACTAGATTCATGACGTTTTATTTGTATTGCTAGAGTATCTTTTGAGGTTTGTTTGATACTGTTTTGTCCATCAATGTACGATTGCATTGGGAAAGCAGTTGGCATTTGTATCAAAACGGTACATCTCATTTTGAATTTTGCATTTTGAGTGCGATCTGGGAAGACAGTTGTTGATGTGTTTCTCTGTGTTGGGTAGCTTAGAGCTTGTTAGAAATGGAGGAAACAAAACCAGTAAAGAGGAAACCCGTTTTCAAAAAGGTTGATCAGCTGAAACCAGACACCAAGGGACACACCCTGGTTGTAAAGGTTGTTAGTTCGAAGATGGTATTGCAGAAGGCCAGACCTGACGGAATCCAAGTTCGTCAGATGAGGATTGCTGAATGCTTGGTTGGTGATGAAACCGGAACCATCATTTTTACTGCCAGAAATGACCAAGGTAGTGCTTTTATTAGCCATTGATCTTTATCTTGTCTTGATTTTCCACGGTTTGCTTTTTTCTGTTACATTATTATCATGCATCATGCATACATAAATTTCTACACAAGTCTTCTTTCCAAGTTACTTGCTTGTTAATTAATTCTTTTCCCTTGTCTTTTTTCCTTCATTTTAATGTTCTATGTTTACTTGCTTAAACTCAAACAAACAACTGTTGTTTGTTTTACTCTTTTTGTACCAAGAATTGCAGTAGTTATTCCGAGGGGAGTCCTTGAGGAACAATAGTGCTGAATAAATTGTTGATACTTGGTTGCAAAAGATATAAGATGAGTTTTTATCTTACACTGTCTTGAACTTTCTTATGGACAGTTGATTTGATGACGACTGGCGCTACAGTGATTCTGCGTAATGCAAAAATAGACATGTTCAAGGGTTCTATGAGACTTGCTGTGGACAAGTGGGGTCGAGTTGAAGTAACCGAACCAGCTAGCTTCGTTGTTAAGGAAGAGAACAACTTGTCGCTGGTAGAATATGAACTGATTGATGTCAATGAACTGGCTAATGCTGGTGCTCGTGAAGTGGTTAGTGTTGTCGAAAAGTGACCTTCCCTAGTGCATACACATCCCTGCAATTCTTGGATCATATTTCAATCAGTAAAGATACGGATTTTTGGTTAATGTGGTGGCACATTGATATGTAGTTTTTCTTGGTCCGTGCAATTGATGCCTAAGAAGATTTTTTGTTTAGCAGACATCTTGAAGCTGTTTCTATCGGAGTCTAGTCGTACAAGGGGAGGCCGCTGGTTTTACCATCTTTACTCTGGCCTGCTGCACAGCTGGTAACTCCAGTCAAATAGTGTAAAAGGAACTTGCTTGGTTTTTTAAATTTGTGTTGCCCTATGAACTGTTACTGTTATGAGATATCATATGGTTATATGCAAGTGGAGTTTCTGCCCTATGTTTTTTTTTGTAGTAATTTCTCTTCTATCCCCACTTGTCCACCTTATTTTTCAAAGTATGGTGTTGTTTGGACGGTTAATCCTCAATTAATAAGTTGGAAGCTATATGTCACAGTCATTTCTTTTCTCGGCTTGGAATCAAAGCAGAGGGCCTAAGAGAAAGGTTCTCTAGTTCAGTTGATTCGCAAAATTCATGCACTCCGGTTCAAAATTCGAAACAAAATCGGTAAATCCTCGAGCAAGGGAGAACTGATAAAAAAGAGAACTCTTTGTTGTATCTCATTAGCATAATCTGTTACCACCAAAGTACCAATCAAGCTTGCTAGATACATGCATAGCACAAGTTCTCGGTACAGTTTTCCAGTTTGTGCTGTTCTCCTGTGAATTTCTCAGTCATGAATTTTCTTACAAGTGAGGACAAGAACTTCTACTATCAAGTATCTCTATTTTGTTGAAGGAATTGGAGGTCCTTCATTTGCATTGTAACAGCTTCTTTTGATAGGGGCTTCGGCTCTCGAACACTGCCTTCATCACTGCCTTCAGCTACTTTCTGTGCCTTGTCCTTGACAATCCGTTGTATCTCAGACTGCTCAACGGATGGATAAACAGCCTTGAGCATGACATTTAGAAGTCTCTCGTCTTCTTCTTCTATAGGGTCCTTCCCAAAGCAGCAGAGGTAGATCCCTTCAAGAGCCTTCTCGATTCGAATCTCCAATGGGATAATTGGGGTAGCGGCCTTTAGTTTTGCCCTTCTCTGCATTTTCATACATCAGTTTCACTTAGAACCCTGAATAAAAACTTCAAGCCAAGCCACACATGTTTAGCAGCATCAAGCATACATCTTCAATTTTACACTTGAACAAGAAGATACTTGAGAGGGTAAACAACCAACCAACCTCTTTTGCCTCGTTGATTAAGGAAATGAAATTCTGCTCTTCAAACTCGATATCATTCGAAACCCGCAGCCTCGCCGCCCCTTCTAAAATCTCCTCAGATTTCAGAAGACCAGCACCAATGGCTGCTACCCAGCAGCATAGTAGAACATACAGAGGATCCCCTGCCTACCCAAAAAAAAATATTCCAACTCAAATATCATATTTTAATAGAATTTTATACACACACAAAAACACAAAATTAAAGATAAGCATTTGATTAGAGTGAACAAAAATCAATACCCGGCCACGTCGATCTTGAAATTCATAAAAAGCTCGAGAATCAGTAGTTGAACACTTCTTCCCCACCCGCCTTCGAAACTCTGCAAAATCAATTATGTCTCCACCAAGGCCACCTTCATCGCTCAGAATTCTTGCTATTAACCCAACAACAGGGAGAGAGCCAATGACCTTGCTGGCGAAGCTGGAGATGGAGTTTGGATTATCCATGTAAGCTTTAACAGAGAAGAACCCATTTGAGTTTGGCACTTTGGACCTGTTGGGTCTCGTGGTGTCGCCATAAATTTGACCGAGGTATAGCAGAGAAGGTGAAGTGGGTTTGCAGGTAGAGTTGCAGAGATGGCTTGTGGCGGTGAAGCTTTGGGGGTTGAAGTTGGCTTTGAGAGAAGGCGAAGTGGATGACACAACCACCATGGCTGTGTGTTTGCAGCAATGGAAGTTAATCCCGTTGGTCACTGATTGGCCTCTCATTTATATACGTTATCTTATCCGCAATTTGAATGTGGCCCAATCAAATATATGGGCCAGGCCCATGGAAAGGCACATCCTTTTTCATGTCGAAGCCCATAGATTTATAGACCCTAAAAGCACCGTTTCGAGTTCCGCTTGCAACGAAACGAGCCCTGTAGTCAAATTTAAAATTAAATATTAAGGAAAAAAACATTCTACTTCCCACAAAAGGCTCATTCTTTTTTTACAAGGGAATTGGTTAAAGAGTATTTACCTTTGCATTCAAAATCTTAGCTTTGATTCTCCATTTTCGCAATATCTATTGTATCAAGGAATAAAAGAGGCCCATACTTGTTTCATGTCGAATATGGCCGCCATTCAGAAAAACGGGTTGGGACCAAGCAAAGGCCCATCATTTTTTCATCCCGTAGATTTATAGATCCAGAACGCAGCGTTTCGCTTGTACGAAACGAGCCCTAGAGTCAAAATTAAAAAATTAAAAAATTAAATGGAAAAAACATTCCTCTTCCCACGTTGATAAAGAAACTGTGAATTTGGCGGCACCACTTCACCCCCACCTCTGAAACTCCTTTTTGTATCCTTCCGTTACCTTCTCTTTTTTGTCTTTCCATATCCCACCCTACTTTCTCGGAGTTCAACTTTAAACTGTAATTATCTCACCTTAATCTTAATAATTATGTATCAATTATGTACGTTTCTTTATGCCCCCCTCTATATCTGGAACTGACCTTATTTCTCTGTTTCCGTGCCGCTTTCTCTGTGTCTGTGTGAAGTGCGAAACCATCAGTTCCACCAAGCATGGGTGCTTACAACAACGACGGCGTTTTGTCGCCGATATACAGTCTCGGTTCCTCCCACGACGTCAGAATCTCCAAGCACGTCCACGACAATGTCCATGGCAACATTTACCTTGATCCGGTACTCTTCTCCATTTTCGCTTTTGATGCCCCCATTGTGTTGAGCAGTGCGAGGTTGGAATATATATTTTGCTTTTGGGATTCAAAATTATAGATATATTTATATAATGGATTTTTGAATCTATAAATAGGAAATGAGTAATTTTGAAGATTATGGCATTGTTATTAAAGTTTCGAAATCAATGAAATTGAATGGAAAATTATTAAATGTCTTTTTTTTTGTTGCAGCTCTCTTTGAAGTTCATCGATACCGAGGAGTTTCAGAGGTAAATTGAGTTTGTACATTAAATGTGTATCAGTAGCTGTTGCTGTTTGCTATGTAATTAATGATTTGATTTTGAGTTTCTACAGGCTTCGTGAACTCAAACAACTGGGTAAGTTTATGCCCTTTGTAACATTATACCCAATATCCATGTATTGTGAACAAGGCTTCTGATTTTTTATTTATTAGGATATGATTTATTGTATTTGTACTCCTATCAAAAACAGAGTGTTGGCTTTGTTGTGTAATTGAAGGTTGTATGTTATCACGTTGAGCTTGCTGTTTGCTTACTTGCCAAGCTTTTAACATGTTTCAGGAGTTACGCACATGGTTTATCCAGGGGGAGTACATTCCAGATTCGAGCATTCACTTGGTGTCTATTGGCTTGCTGGTGAAGCTGTTCAGAAGCTAAAAAATTATCAGGTATAACGCTGTTATCTGTCATTTAGTACTGGTAATTAACATATAATTACATATAATGCAATTTTTTTTAAATGTTCTTATATATGCTTGCTCCTTACAGGGCTCGGATCTTGATATTGACCGCTTTGATCTCCAGACCGTAAAAATTGCAGGTGATTATAGTTGTTTGTGTCATACTGCCCCTCCGTTGAGTCGTCTGAGTACTTTCGTTCATTGAAATTATAGGACTTTTGCATGATGTTGGCCATGGGCCTTTCAGTCACTTGTTTGAACGCGAGTTTCTTCCCCAAGTTCGGAGTGGTTTCCATTGGTATGTTTTTCATCTTTTATTAACTATCCTTTTATATGGGGGAATGCCTTCTGTGTCAGCTGTTTCCTATCACAAAAAGAATTAGGAGAGAAAGAACCTGTAGTTGGAGCCTATGTTTTAGAATTTTTTTCTCCTTGGTTTTGTGAAAATTCTAAGTATGTTTTATCTCATATATGAACTTTCTAGGTCTCACGAGGATATGTCAGTGAAGATGGTTGAGCACATTGTTAATCAGCATCATATTGATATTGACCCTCAGATGATTAAAAGAGTTAAGGTTAGTAGTTTATTCCTTGAGGGGAACTATTAATGATACTTTACTTATGACCCGAGATGATACTGTTTCCATGGTTGATTTTTGTTTTCTGATTGCAGGAGATGATACTGGCCAGCTCTGAATTTGCAATGCCAAGAGTAAGATGCTTAAAAACCAGCATTAGTATCGCATCTGTTCATTTTAGAACTTTTTCTTTTTCTTGTCATTATATTTAACGTTACCTTTTCCTTTCTTTTAAATTACAAGTAGAGCTCAAGGGAGAAGCGTTTTCTGTATGAAATTGTTGCAAATGGCCGTAATGGAATTGATGTGGACAAGTATGTGACTCTTCAAGATTTTCTGCTGTGTTATTACTCATTTGTACTTCATTTTAATGCTTGTTATGTAACTTTCATACTGGAATCTAATGTTATGAGATGTTAATCATTAACAGGTTTGATTATATTGTCCGTGACTGCCGCGCTTGTGGGCTGGGATGTAACTTTGAGTTTCAAAGGTTTTTATCTGATGTTAAAGTTGACTTCATTAGTTATTGGTGCCTCTCATAGTTTTCTTTTTAAAAATACATGAATGATCTCTTCTAGCATCATATATTTTACCCCTCTATCAGATTAATGGAGACAATGCGGGTTATGGATGATGAGATCTGCTATCGGGCCAAAGATTGTCAGTATCTTGTCAAATTTATTTATCAGATTAGTATTGGATTTTTGTTTTCTACTGCTAATGGTTGTCTATTGTCTAGATCTCACTGTCCACAAGTTATTTGCTACTCGAGCTGATTTGTATCGAACAGTTTATACACATCCAAAAGTAAAGGTATAGAACAGATATTTTATTGAGCATCCCAGTTTTTTTTTCATCTTCATAACGTTTTTCTCTTTTTCCCAGTTTTACTGACTTGTTAGACTTTGAAAATGATTTTATCTGAAGTGAATAACTTTTGTAGGCCATAGAGCTTATGGTGGTTGATGCCCTGGTGAAAGCAAACAATTATCTAGACATTGCCTCTCACATTGAGGATCCCTCTCAATACTGGAAGGTTTTGAGAATCAATTTTCCAAATTTGGTTTCACTTTCAATTGACTCCCTGATTCTTAGAATGCTATGCTTGAAATTATTTAAATGTAGTTAGATGACACCATCATTAGAACTATTGAGACAGCTCCAAACGAAGAACTAAAGGAAGCTAGGGACTTAATCCTGCGGATTAGGAGGAGAAATCTTTATCAGGTAAGTTTTTGCTGCTCACTCCCTTTCTGGACTCAATGAAAAATCATAGAAGGTAACTTATGGATCTCTTTTGTGGTTCGATGATGTTTGATGGCAGTTCTGCAATGAGTATGCTGTACCCAAGGATAAAATGGAAAATTTCAAAAATGTCACCGCTCAAGATATTGTTTGTTCTCAGGTTACGATCCAGCCAGTCCTTTCCATTTCGGTGTTTTGTTGCTTCACTGCTAAACATTGTCTCACTACTAATGCTATATTACTTATTTCACAGAAAAGTGGAGTGACATTGAAAGAGGAGGATGTTGCTGTTTGCAACGTCAGGATTGATTTGACTCGTGGGAGACATAGTCCTCTTGAAAGGTACTGAGGATGTCTTTTAGCAAGCTTTGTTCTACATTTTGGTGCAACCATTATTAAGCATCAAATGACAATTTTTTTTCTCACTCTCTCTCTCTCTCTCTCTCTCTCTCTCTCTCTCTTGTTTATGCATGTATCTTTTCCAGTATCAACTTTTTCCAGGTACGTCACTTAACCTATGCACTACTTTTTTTAAAGTATCTAACCTTTTATATGGAGACATCTATACTGAGTCAGGATGATCCAAAATTCTGATTGTTTTATGAAGCAACTGTTCTATATATATATATATATATATATATATATGGTTAGTCTTATTTGTGTCAATTAGACAAGTTTGATGTGTCTATTCAGGATTATGACAGTGAGGAGAAATTCACTATACGTGAGGACCACATTAGTCACTTGCTGCCTACATCATATCAAGATATGATAGTGAGGGTCTACTCCAAAAAGCCTGAGCTGGTCTGTCAAATAAAATATTACCACAGTTTGATCACTGTTTTTATCTTCACCTTTCTTGTTTCGGACTAAACATATTCATATTCTTCAACGCAAATGTACAGGTTGGAGCAATTTCTGAGGCTTTTGAGAACTTTCAGTTAAAAACATATGGGGTCAAGGCACAAGTACACGCAACACCAGAGAAAAAGAAACGTCGTATCTTATCATGAAAGAAGGCCCCGTTATCTATTAAGTTGGAATTATGAGAGTGACTTTTGTCAATCAAGTTGGATATATTTTGTATAGGTATATAGCCATTCTCAACTGGGATTACCACAAGGCGCGATTTAGTATACTCCTTCAAATTATGTTCGAAAATATAACGAGTGGAACGGCTTTTGAACTCTGTAATGCTTCTACGAGGTGTTAGGTGTAGTTCGTGCTCTTTCTTTTGTTCAAATGTGTTAATGTCGGCATGAAATGTACTTTGTAAACATTTTATCTTATGGTTCTGACATATTTTATATCACAGATACAGATATATTTATCCGTAGAGATAAATAAATCTGGACTTTTGGGAAGGACCCTTTGACAGGCAGGCTGCTAGAATCACGGGCACTTTCTCTGATCTATGAACCCCTCTCGCCCCGTGAACCCCTTGACTCTATATAGCAGTAATGGCCTCTGCTTTTGATGCCTAACCCTATTGAGTCAAAAAGAGAAGGCTTCACGGGCATGTTGATGTTTTGTTCAACAGCAACTTATTCAGCTCTCTCTTTACTAAATCATGGGGAAGGTAACTCTGAATTACCGTTTTCCTTTTTACTGAGCAAAGTAAAAAGTATTTTCAGCTGGTAAAACTTGCTGCTTCTACTTGAACAGAAGCCGCACAATGTGTGCTTGAATCTGAATTATGCAAAGAACACGCATTCTAAGTTTGACCACAGAGCCACCATTGGTGTACAGAAAAGGAGCCAAAGTGCCCCTCTTTCTTCCATATACGTCTTCCTCCAATCATGAAACTGAACATACCCAAATTGGCAAAGACATTACATGGACAGCCCTTGACCACCCGACCCAAGTTCTCTTTTCTTCCACGCCAACCACAGCTCCATTTGTTTATCATAAAATCTTGGCCAACCCTTGCAAATTGGGGAGGTAATATTTCAAGGACTTTGGCCACACCCACACACCATACCCTTTTTGTATAAATAGAGAAACAGAATAAAGAATTAGTTGCTGGGGAAATTGAATATTTTTTGCTGACATTGAACAGATGGCTGCATGCATGGTGGCATTAATGCAACTATGTGCCTATTACATGTCTTTCTATCATTGGCTCACCCTATCATGAACCCAAAAAAAAATTGAAATCACACTTTACCAAGATAATGTTCAACTGAGGATAAGATCATCACAGAATGTTTCACTGCATGCTGGGGTGGTATGATTTTAGATAACTCTTATCAGAAGGTAAAATCACTTTTGTTTTTTAACCTCATGAATTGTGTTTAAAATACATAAATGAATGTATCCTGGTATAATCCAAATGAATTTTTTTTTTTTTGGGAAGAAAGTATAGTCCAAATGATTAGTTAACTTTCAGATAAACAAACAAAGATAATGGCAGGTCCCTGAAAAGGATAGATCACAAAAATAAAAATCGCATTTTTATAAGAGGGTGTGGTAAATAATGTATTATATTGGAGGTACAAGCATTAGAAGAAAATAAAATATTAAGGGAAGTAAAAGGTATGTTGACTGCAACAGAGAGTCCTCCTGCTTCTTTCTCTTTTCCATAAAATCATAAATAATAGAGAGAGAGAGAGAGACTGAGGTGGGTCAGAAACACACGTCGTCTTCAGGCAAAATCCATGTGCCCACATGGATGATAGTGAGAGAAACAGAGTAGAACTACTGCTTGATTTTGGTGACACCATTTATAGTCCTTCCTTCTGAGTACATCCTCAACATTAATAGCGAGCACAAGCAGAGAGCTTTGCTCCTTGGCTTGCCCTGTCCTCACTTTGACGCCAAAAGGGTGCGTCAGTATTTGAAAATAAAGAATGAAAATGAAGGAGAAGAGTGAGAGTGGCGGTGGGTATGTGAGAGCAGATCAGATAGATCTGAAGAGTTTGGACGAGCAGCTCCAGAGGCACCTGAACAGAACATGGACTATGGAGAAGAACAAGAGGAGAGAGGAAGAGGAAGAGGAAGAGGAAGAAGCAGCATCAAGGCAGACCACTGCCACAAGGCAAGACTGGGAGATTGATCCCTCCAAACTCATCGTCAAGGGTGCCATAGCTCGAGGCACTTTTGGTACTGTTCACCGTGGCATTTATGATGGCCAAGACGTTGCTGGTATTGGACTTTTTGCTCGCTCTGTCTTAAGGAATTTGTTTTGGGGTCTTTGACATTTTGTTTGGGGTTCTTACTCTTGAGGGTGCCCATGTGATGAAAACTAATACAGATGTCACAAAATTCGTTATTTCCTTGGAAAAACTCATCCTTTTGTTGATACACGCGTGTTAACATGCATGTTTCAGACTTCTTCTTGAGCTTTCCTCAATGGCATTGCCATGACTTATGAGGCTTTCTATGTTTAGGAAGAAGATTATGGCACCTGTGTTCGAAAAATCGGCCTAGGCGGCCTCCTAGGCGCTAGGCGGGAGGACACCGCCACGGTTTACCCTTGGGCGGCGCCTAGGCGGTCTCTCTCTCTCTCTCTCACGAGTCGACCACCACCACCAGGCCTTGACGACCCCTCGCCTGGGCCCTGATTACTCCTCTAGACGCTAGGCCCCTGCCTGCCGCCCGCCTACCGCCTAGCGATTTTTCGAACATTGGTTTGCACTAGAATTGCAGAAAAAGATAAAATTTTCGAGGTGTTTGGCTAAGGTAGGATTGTTTTAATTATAATTTTTACATGAATGATGGAGAAGATTGAAACTTTTGGGTTTGAGGACGATTGAAATTTCTAACAATGTTTAACTAGCTTTTTGAAGTATTTACTGTAGTTGGGTAAGGAATAAGAAATCCCATTGGTTTTTGGTTCGTAAATGAAATAAAAGTCCTTGCACAGTGTTTTAGTAGGTATCACAAGAAATCGCTCCTTAGGCTCTGTCTCGATGGTGTCATACAAGTTTCAGGCTTCTTTGCAACTTAATGGTGAAGGGCCCTTCTACTTTTACTTCTGCTAGTTCCTCAAATCTCTACCAATATTCTCCAATGTTTCTTAGGTATGAAGTTGAAGTGAGGGATTTCTTGAAGGCTTCCAAATGTTTTTTTTATTTTTTTATTTCCTCTTCTTTTTCTTAATATTCCTGACTTTGATTAGCTACATAGAGTGGCTTGTGATAAAGCCTTACAGATCTAGCCTCACAATATCCGTGATTCACGGATTGGGAGCAGCTGTGGTAGTTAGCAGTAACAATTGCAGTTTTTCTATAAAGACAGAAAAAATAAAAAATAAACCCCTTTTTGTTTTAACAATTGCAGTATTTTTACTTCTCACTTGGTGACAACAACAGCTGGAGATTTTAAAGCAAATGTGTAGAAAAAATTGACTCAATACTGGCTAGCTACTAAGCTTCCATATGACTTTTCATCTTAACATTCATAAAAATCTCATGCAAATTAGTTCAAGCTAAAAACAGAACCTAATAGTCCAAATTGATCTATGTTGAAAGCCATAATTAGATTCGGATCAATGCCAGATACGTTATATGATAATTGTCTCATTAAGTTCGATGTTATGCATTTTATTTCTGTTATCTGCGTGATTGTTTTAGGGTGGAGAGAACTCTTGTTTATTTGTGTTTGTAATCTAACCTGAACCATAGAACTATCTTATTGTTAACTCTTTACTTTCCTTCCTTTTTCAATATTCAGTTAAACTTCTAGATTGGGGAGAAGAGGGACATAGATCAGACGCTGAAATAGCTTCTCTAAGAGCAGCTTTTACTCAAGAAGTTGCTGTCTGGCATAAGCTTGACCACCCTAATGTGACCAAGGTAACATTTCCATGTCTTCACACTGGAATGTTGTGAGCTTTCATGTTACATTGAAAGCATAAGTCTAACACTTTTAACCTCTTGGTTAGACCTATGTATCAAGAGAATGCACTGTCGTGTTAATATCCAACATAAATACAAGATAGCTGACGCAGTGTTGAAATAAAATTAACTTTAAAGTGGATGTCGGTTCTCAAGTGGAATGTCGCTTTTTTCTTTGCCCCGCCCAAGATTGTGTCGGGCACCTGCAAATTTTCTTCAATAAGATTATTATTGTTATATGAATTGGGATGCCTACGTCAACGTGGTTTAGCTTACTCATACCAACTCTTTCTTTTCAGTTTATAGGGGCTACAATGGGAACATCAGAGCTACACATACAAACAGATAATGGCCAAGTTGGCATGCCAAGTAACGTTTGTTGTGTTGTTGTCGAATATTGTCCTGGTGGCGCACTGAAATCTTACCTCATAAAGAACCGCAGAAGGAAGCTTGCATTCAAACTAGTTGTCCAACTGGCACTAGATCTTGCACGAGGGTCATATTCCCACACCCCATCTGTATTTTATTTTGTTCTTCAGATCTTTTGATATATCTTAGATTTTTCTAGTTCCAAGCGTACATATGCATGTTAAGTATTATATTGAACTTGTTCTTTGAACGTGTTATTTTATTTTATTTTTAACGTGAGGATTAAACTGCCATTCTTTGTATTTTTGTAGTTTGTGCTATCTTCATTCGAAGAAGATTGTTCACAGAGATGTTAAAACAGAAAACATGCTTCTAGACAAGACACGAACAGTAAAGATAGCGGACTTTGGGGTTGCTCGTGTTGAGGCTTCAAATCCTAATGACATGACTGGCGAGACTGGAACCCTTGGTTACATGGCTCCAGAGGTATACCCTTTGATTCTGTAATGAACTCTCTCTCGAATGCATCTCTTTTGTATGAATTCTTCAAGCTTCAGAATTCTCTCTGTTAGTTAATAATAGAAGGGTGTCGTGTTGCTTACCTTGCTCAGTTTTGTTTTAACTGACACGTGCAAGGATTTACCCTATAAAGAATGAGCTTTCTCTCTCTAGATTTTGTTGTTATTATTATGCCATATATGAGTGCATTTGCATATGCTTTGTGTATCCTGACAAATTCATTCCTGATAGAAACTCTGCTTCGGTAGGTGACATCAGTAAATAAGGAGAAAAAAATATTTGTGTGGTGGAAATTATGTTCTCAAAATAGAAATTTCATTCCAAATAATGTCATGGTCTTGTAAGTTCCTTATAAGGAGAGACACACACCTTTATGTCATGATCTTTGCCTCGAATATTTCCAAAACTGCAGATGGAGCCGGAGTGCCATAACATACCTTAGTGCTGTTCCCACTATTTGGCTGTGCCGTGATGGACAGCAAACCATTACATGACACCAATATAATGGGGGCATGTTTCTAGGAATTTGCTCACTGCATCTTTTGTCCATTCAATAGCTGCTTCTTCATATTACCAAAAAATGATGAGTTACTTAGACTGATGCTGCTTGTTTCAGCTCTTGGAAATCTGTTTATAATCAATGAGTTTCTTTGCAATCATAAGATAATATTGTAGAAACGGCTTCCTTCTATTTTTCTCAATATTTCTGTATCTGACTTATCGAAATGACTCGGGATGGAACAGGTTCTCAATGGCAATCCATATAACAGGAAATGTGACGTGTACAGTTTTGGTATCTGCTTGTGGGAAATATACTGCTGTGACATGCCGTATCCTGATCTTAGCTTCTCGGAAGTGACATCAGCCGTTGTCCGCCAGGTAGATAAAATCCTTAAGATATCTTATAATCCATGAGATATATGATTGTGTGAAAACTTGGCCTTAAAGAAATAATCATCTACACATAACTGCTCTTAATATAATTGGATATCATTCATTGTCAAAGTTAGCTAAAAGAGAAATCAAACTTATATGAAACTACAGAATCTGAGGCCTGAGATGCCTCGTTGTTGCCCAAGCTCTCTTGCAAATGTAATGAAGCGATGTTGGGATGCAAACCCTGACAAGCGGCCGGAGATGGATGAGGTGGTGGCCATGTTGGAGGCTATTGACACATCTAAAGGTGGAGGTATGATCCCTGGGGATCAGCCTCAGGGCTGTTTCTGTTTCCGCAGGTACCGAGGACCATGAAAGTTTTGCTCCTTTTCTGGCAATAGAGAGAGGGAATACGATGGTTCTGCAAATTCAATTTGTATTTTACTGAATTGAATAGGTTCAAAATTAAGAAGAGTCAAAGTGAATACAAAACCGTGGAGGCTGTTGTCTAAAGAGGAGCTCAGCAGTATCTGTTACTTTGTTGGACTATAGATTTGTAAAGAGTTTCTTTCTTTTTGCCAAGTTCACCTATTTCATAAAAACCCATGAAATTTACAAGCTGAATTGCTGAATATCAATTCATGAGACGAGCTTGGATAGATGAATCAATATGACTTAGCGCCCCGTGACACTAAGTTGGTAGGTTTTAGTGACTTGATGTGGCGATATTGAAAATTTCAACCATTTCTGTGATATAAATTTCCCAGACATATAAGATACAGGACAGGACCAATGTTGTTAAGAAAACTGTTTTTGCTACTAGTTAAAATACCAGGTGGATGCAACAATGTGGTGTTTATAATATGAATCAATCTGAACTTGACTTCAGTGATAGTCTTAAAAAGAACACAATCTCCAACCAAATGCTACAATTCTCTCAAAATGATATGGTGGTCGCCGAATCCTGGAATTAAATTACATACTTAAACGTGGTGCCTCAAATAAATTTGCTCAAATTGGCTAATAAACCCTTATATGGGATAATGGTCTCTCTAGCCAGCAATCTTGTAGCTTGGATTGGCTAGATTTTCGAGCCCAGAGACTACTTGGATTGACTCTATCACATCACCAACCTTGAGATCTGCCAAAAAGTCCTCATTTTGTGTTACATATCCAAACACTGCATAACGACCATCTAATATATTGGAATTACTGGGAGTTAGTTCACTTTCCTTCAGTAGCCAAAAAATCTGGCTGGATGCAGAATTGTTCTCAAATTCCTGTCAACAAAAATTGAAAATCATTTAAATCAAAAGTGCCATCTCTGGTTAGCTTCAAATGCATCTCTAGAGAACAGAAACATTGATCTTACATCTCTGGCCATAGCCATTGTTCCAAATGCATTAAAGGGCAGCTTTGTTTGAGCCTTGTATAGTCCAAGCTCCTGTCCAAATACCAATTTCATAATCAATGTCATAACAATTTAAGCAAACACGGGTATAACAATGACTAGGAAACATTTAACAAAAGTATTATATCAGAATGAGTTAACACACAAACATAGAAGGACAGAAGCAGGAGAAGCTTACTTCCAAAGTTGATCCATAAAAAGGTAATTTCTCTCCCTCCACCGTGATTTCTAATGGTATTGTCCTGGTTTTCTCTGTACTTGGATCTATGAAACCCTCTGCTGGTCCTTCAGGATCACCAGTTTGTACAACAAAACCATCCGCTGCAAGCAAAAAGCAAGGGGATCTTTAAACATCGTTGAGAAGTAAAATTTAAAGTTTAGAGGTCGGATGAATAACGCAAGATCTCTCAATGAGGTAGATCAAGAACTTAATTTATTCCTTTCTAGATTAGCAATACTTCCAAAAATATTAATAAAAGAAAAGACTGGATATTTAGTATGAGGTGTTACCTCTTTGGATTTCCATGCCATCATAAAAGTGTCTTTCCACCAAGTCTACAAAGTTCCCAGCAGTTACTGGAGCATTGTAACCATCAAGAACAATACGGAAGACACAATCAGTAAGGCTAGGATTATCCTTAACCTTGACCTTCATATCCACAGTTGCTCTCCCCTTCAATAGAGGCATGCTTTGGTATTCTTCAGGCACTTCATACGGGAATCCATCCACCATATCCTCTTCAACACTGCAGAAACCCAATGCCCCAGGAAGATCTCAGCTGCAGTCAATGACAAGGGCGTATATGAGGATACACATGTTATAACTAACAATCCTCGCACACTTCAATGCCTTTTGAGCTCTAGCTCTACTCAACATTAGAGCATAGGTGGTGTTTTTTCTAATAGTTCACTCAAACAATACCAGATGTTTAAGTCTTAGTTTACTAATGTTCTTTCTATCACTCGTCTCATTAACATCTAGTCATCAGTGGTAATGTCTTCTCATAAACACCAAAAGTCTTACAACAGCCTCTTTGCAGCTTATTTGAGACAGAAAACATACATTTGGTAATTCAAGACCTCTACGAGGAAACTCTGAATACAAGAAAATAGCAGCAGATAAAAATAATTAGACAGTGAACATGCACGAATTCCAAAATCCTCTATGACATTTTCTTAGTTTACTAATGTTCTTTCTATCACTCGTCTCATTAACATTTAGTCATCAGTGGTAATGTCTTCTCATAAACATCAAAAGTCTTACAACAGCCTCTTTGCAGCTTATTTGAGACAGAAAACATACATTTGGTAATTCAAGACCTCTATGAGGAAACTCTGAATACAAGAAAATGGCAGCAGATAAAAATAATTAGACAGTGAACATGCACGAATTCCAAAATCCTCTATGACATTTTTAATAAGTAAGATATGGTAACAAGACAGAATCAAGTATTGCATGGTTAAAGACACACATACACAAGTTCCTATTTTCTATCTTATTTTCACACTGAGCTTCTTACAGCCATTCAGGTATTTCATGAGAGGTGTATTTTTTTTCTTTTTTGCTCAACAAAATTAAAAAGCCATTCTTCATTATGCCACAAAGTAATATTTCTGCCATACTCACCCCCCAACATATTGAAGTAGCTCCTTCTGTTTTTCTGCTACTCCGTCTCTATTTCTATCCTCCACAATCTGTTGGAGTTCATCCATTCCAGCTTCCAGCTTTCCGAGCAATTCAACTCCATGGTCCTTCTTCGATTCAGCTAATCCAGATACAATTAAAGCCTTTCCCTGCTTCAGCGCTCGAGATGCCTGCCTCAAATTCTATATCCAAACTCAAGTCTCAGTTACCATCTATTGAAATTCCTTAGATATAAACAGAATGGACACAAAGAAAAGAAATGGTTTGATGAATTACCCTCTCAACAGAATCGAGTGCTTTGACTCCGGCTACCTTCAGACTCTCTGTAATATCTTCAAGTGGTTTTTGTACTTCCCTGATAGCTTTATTATTGATAGGTAGAGCATATCTCAACAAAGCCCCCGGGTCCTTTATTGGGGGTCCAGAGATCAGTACAGAAAGATCAGGCAACACTGGGTTAGCCGCATAGGCATTGCTAGACCATTCCAATGCAGGAACTCCTGTTACTAATCCAACGGCCAAAGCTATAGATATCGCACACTCCTTTATGGAAAATGACTTCCCTTTCTGCTGAAACAAGTGAAAACGCTCAGTGGGTCCTATCTACAATCAACTTTTGCAACAAAAGATCATATCTTTCTGAAAGAACTTCAAGTTGACTTGGCCTATTTAGCATCCACTACAAACTACACACATGTCATGAACTTAAGTACCCTATATTCTGAACAGTCTATACATTCTAGTATTCTACTAAATGCTGAATAAGAATGCCAATGAAACAAAGAAAGAACATGTAAAGAATCCAAATTTGTACAAAAACAGAACCAGAAAAGAAAAGGGCACCTGTCTGTTCTGGATCTGGCATTTAATAGGAAGTGGGGAAGAACTGCGGGTTCCAAATTGTTTATGGGAAATTGAGAAGCGTGTACGGTTTGTAGGTATGCTGGGACTGATGAATTTGGAGGAGGTAGCTGGAGAAGCAGAGTGGTGGCAGGAGAGAATGGCTGCCATTGGACTTTAAACTTTTTTCAGTACTAGTTAGTATCCACACTACAAAGTAACATCAGCCTGTTTTTGTGCAAAAGACCGAAGAATGAAAGAGAGAGAGAGGAGTAGATAAGGTGATTGGTAAATTGGGGTTGGTCTTGCACACTGCTCTACTTGTTGCTCATTTTCACTCATAATGGGAGATTTGTGGCAGCCTGGCACATGGGCATTGGGTCATCATCATCCACAGTCCTCAAGTTCTGGATAAGATTTGCAATTCATGGATTGGAATCTGAACTCTTCGATTTTTCATAAACACATGGATTTCTTTGACCCCTTTTCATTTTGTTTCCAATCGCTTGGGTCTGGACCCAGATGAAAACAATGCCAAGTTTGTTGAGATTTGGGTCAGGCTGAGGTTGCCCACTTCCACAGTTTTATGGCTAGTTTAGGGCTTGTACCTTTGAGGCCTTGACAAAAATGGATTGGTTTTGTTTTTTCGGTCACGGGCTGCTTCTTTTTTTTTTCCAAATTTAGCAATCCCTCTATCTATTTTCAACAAAATTATTCTCTTTTTTCTGGTCAACCAACATACTTGAAAAAATATAAAAACAATTGGGACTGAAAAAGTTGGTGCACATTGAGACATTTGCAAAAGCATGAATAGTCACTGAATTCACCATGAAATCGTCACTAAACCACAAACAAGAATTGTCAATGCAGTGCTTCAGTTACTTGGCGCAGCCGCTCAACAAAAATGTATATTTACAATTCTAAACCAGAAAACTAATCCCAAAAAAAAGAAAGTACTTGCTTTTTCCCTATCAAAATTAACCTAAGGAGATGAGAAGTTAAAACTAGGAAGTTCATGCGCAGATGCAGAGTAATTATCAGACACTAGCAGCAGCAGCTGCATTTGTATTCGAGAGCTGCACTTCAGTACTAGGCTTTCCAGCAAAGTCATCGTCGTCTTTTGGAGTTGACTTGTAGTACGCTGCATAAAGTATGAGTTGAATAGCACCAGAAACTGCACCAAGACCATTGCTGACCTGCATGACATAAAGACACAAAGTAATTAAGCACCATAAGTTAAATCAAGAACAAATAAAAACGAATTAATCAGAGAACTCAAGTTAATTACAATTACCAGCATGTATATGTCAAATTTGATGAGAGCATAAGCTGTCCAGCAGCAACCATTTAGGAAGTTGGTCAATGAGAGGTAAAATGGCATGTATTTCACACTCTTGGTTTTGATAACCTTTGCCTGTCAAACCAAAAATATATATATATATTGCGTAACTTTTATTATTACTAGATAGAGAGAAAAGTTAAAACTTTATGGACTGGAATTACAAGGTGTTGCTTACCATGATTGTAAGAGGAGAACCGTACATTATGATATTGAAAATATCACAGACAATGCCGACCAACAGAGACCTCTTCTTTGTGCCGTGCAATGCTGTTAGCGATATTGCGGCAATGGCGACAAAGAGAACAACATCAAAGCCAAGCCCAAAAGCTACCTTCTTCTGCAAAATTCAACAACAAAAAGCACATTAGTTATATGTACTCTGCCTCCCGAATAAATTATGAAACACCTTTGGCTCCTAGCCTTGTAATGTAACTTACCCTGCCTTTACTCTGAGCATAAATGAAGAAGACAGCAAGATATGCGAGCTCCAGAACAAGCCCAACTCCATTAATGGTGACCACAAGAAGGCTGTCTGGGTGAACAAATGGCATGCCATACAAACACCAGAACAAGCAGTTCAACACTGTTGCAATGTAAGGGTCCGGCCTGAATTCTTCCACCGTCTTTTTCTTAATGATTCTGTAAAATGTTGGACTGCATTCCAAAAAATTTCAATATCTCAATTTATCATTGATAGAGTCAGTGAGAAAAAGAACAATCCATGGAACAGGTCTTTAATTTAGAAATTAGAAAGAAAAAAAAAACTAATGTACTGTACCACAGGACATACATGAAAAGGCAAAAAAGAAAAAATCAACCCCCCCTTAGTTAATTGGAACCATGAAGAATCTTATACAACTCTAAATTCTATAATTGAATAATTGATGCACACAATTACAGATTACTTGCAAACAGAAAATGCAGAGAGTCCAAAACCATGATTTCATTATTTTTTCCCCATGCCAAATCATGTATATTCCCTATTTTGCTCTTAATTAGTTCAAGGTATGTTTTGCATTATATGGTAATAAATGAATTGTTCCTTCCACAACTAAGAAAAATCTCATGTTTCGATCTCTTTCTTTTTTTTCTTTCAAGTTTTGGAAAACAGAACAAGATTCACAATTAATCTATGTAACAATACTGAATCACAGTAGAAGGAGATAAGCTAAGCGGTGCAATGTACGTATGAAGAACATCAAATATGCTATAATCTTCTCTACAATCAAAAACTTGAACAAGAAAACCATCAGATCCACAGAGAGAGAGAGGTTACACTGGGGAGAGGAAAAGGCCAAAGGAGATGACATTGCCTGCAGAAAATCAAATTAGCCAAACAAACACAAAATCAGAACACTCAAATCATCATCTGTTTCCTTTATACAAACGAAATTCCAGTACGAACAGAAAAATTCACAAAGAACAAAAAGCAGAAATCAGTAGCATTTGAATTAGTTGCAGAGAGAAAGAGAACTCTTCCGCTTATATATATATATATATATAGCTACAGAGAGAGCAAGGGGAAGGCACCACGTACCAATGATACCGACGACGTTTCGAGCTGCATCAGCGGTCACCATCTTTGCGTCGACTTGCTTGCTTCTTCGAATTTGCAGAGAGAATTTAGAACCAGAACGAGAACGAGAACGTGAGAGAGTGTGAGATTTCGTGAATCTGACGGCTGATATTTATATAGCAGCTCTGTCGTAGGCTGCTAGGAATTCAAAAACTTTTATAACTTGGATTAATATCCGAAATTAAATATTTATCTTTTTTTGGATTTATTTCACGTATCTGACATTATCCTGGATTTTCGTTTCAAAAATTAATTAGTTGTTGATGAATTGGACTCTATCCATTCATGTATCTATCTCCTGACTGATGATCATGATCATGATCATGATGATCTGATGCGTTACGTGGACTCTCATTTCTTGTTTCTGATTAGATCACAGCCTTCTATTAGATTGTTTGGGGTACAAGCAAAGCGCGGGGCGTGCATGAGTTTCATGGAATCCCGACCCTTTTGAGGTGGTTACGACAGATACGGAATGGGTCTCAGTTTCCCAGTTAATTACTTACTCTGCCATCAATTTGGATTGAAGGCACCATAAGCGTTTTGCCTATATCCGGTCTCATTTTATTGGTCAGCTAATTGATCACGTACATAAATTGTGTAAGATCAATTTCAATTTCAACTGATTTCTAAGTTTTATGCTCATATTTCCTAATAAAACTTATGATAATGAAAATAATGATATGGAATAGGATAAATGCCAATTAATAATACGTCGTTGAATCTAAATTGGTAAATTAAGACCCAATTAATTATGAGTGCTATTATTTCTACCCCTGTTTTATTTTCCCACCCACCATGTAAAATTGAAAAAACACAATCATATCTTTCCACCCACCATTATTCCTAAAATACCCATTAAGTATTAATTCAAGAAAATTATTTTTATTAAGAATATATATATATATATATATATACGTGATTGGATCTAATTAGAAATTGATTTTGAATAATATTAGTCTCCAAGTCAATGCCCTTATCTACTCGGCTAAATCCCGTTGGTATGAATTCTTCTCTTTGAGTAATTTGAAAGCTGCCGAAGGTTATATATATTTAATTTGGTAAGAAAGTATTAAATATCTGTGTTGCTATGCAAAATATAGAATGCTTCGTTCTTGGGGTTCCATGACCGTAGAGCTAAGAGGCTAAGGTGGGTTATGGCTACATACTTGCCCAGGAAAGTTGACTGCCTTGGGTGATTGGTGTGAATGATCCGAGGCTTGTTCAAGTTCGAGTTGAACATGGAGTTTTGTGGCATCATGGACGGGCCCTATTTCAATATCATGTTATTTTGTCTTCTGATCCAATGCACCCTCAGCCCATTTAGTATGGTAAGACTACTTGTTGGGCTTTGGGGGGCCTCTGAAACCCCTCCTCACTTATGGGCTAAAAGAATAACTTGTCCGAGGTGCTTATATCCCTATATTCTTGCATATTTTCATGCATGACAAGCTGAATGAATTGAAATTTTTATTCTTTTTAATACAAGTGGTAGTTTAAATTATAAGGGGGAGAGAAGTTACACACACACACTACCGAATCATTAGTCTGCAAGTCAATGCTCTTTTCCACTGAGTTAGACCCATTGACAAACAAATTGATTTATTAAAGAAATAGTAATGGTGGGTAAGAAACCATTATCATGGATATTATATAATCCCTATAATAAATCACGTGCATAGTAAGTGTTTACTTGCCTAATTAGTGCTAGATGAGCCAAGTTCCACCAGTATTGCTAATAGTTAATTAATAGAAAATTAGTGAAACACCCAATTCTAGACATGAAACTATAATAAAACCCTAGACTATTTAAAACATATAAACACACCCAAAATAAACCCAAAAACCAACAGCTGTCAATTTTTGGATTTATTTTCTATGTTAGATTACGGTTTTGACCTTTTGGTCTGAATTCTTTGAAACAGGCCCAAAATTCGCCAGCTAGGATAGGAATATTTGAAAATTTACGTTGGTGACCTCATAACAGAAACCTGTTTGGCAGCCTCAGCAGATCGAATATTCCAAACGAGCTTCGTTCAGTTCTTCGAACGAAGCGAGCTTCGTTCACCTCTTCGAACGAAGCTCAGTATGATGTGGTTTCAGATCTTCTTTTTGGATTCTTCTGAGCTCAGTATGGTGTAGATTGGAGTTCTATTGCTTCAATTTTTTTGTTCTTTGCTGTTTGATTTGGTAATTTTTGGATTGATATTGCGCTGCAAGAGACTCGATTGGAGCTTGGTGCGATCTGTGATCTTCGATTTTGAGGTATTTCGATTTTTTCTTGTGAATTCATATTCGTTTTTTGAGGATTCGATTATATTGTAGTCTGATTTTTGGTGATTTCATGTTCGATTAATTAAGTTGCTGATTAGGTTTTCGTTTCTTTTTGTTTATAATTTGGATTGATTTCAGATTCGTTTTGATTGTGGATTTGCTCTTGTGTTTTGATTTGAGGTGTGGTGAAACTTTTGTGATATTCGATTTGGTTTTCATATTAATTGAGGTTTTTTCAGTTGAATCTGAGTATATTCGTGTTTTTTCTGTTTATGCACTATTGGTTTTTGAGTCGACTATAATTCACTGTTAATACCCGGCATCCACTGTTATTGCTAGTAGTCATTTTTGTTTTGTTTGTTGTTTTTTTGTATAGATATGGATGATTCGAGAGTGGCAAAGTGCACCTATGGTGGTGGAACTTTAATGCTTATTTTGTCTTCAACTACTACTTTTGATTGGCTGTCCAACGAGTTGTGTAGTAGGTTCAAGCTGAAGTTAGGTCATTTTGAGTTGAGGTACTCTTATACGGATTGCTCCAATTGTTTATTGGAATTGGATGATGATTTGAAAATCATGTTTATGGTATGTGGACTGACGAAGGATCAATTAATTCACATTGCTGTTAGGGATAAGGCTGTAGTGAATTATGTTCAAACTGTTAATACGAACATAATTGCTTCTCCTTTTTTGTTGGAGGCTGTTCCTAACAATTACAGTTTTGCAGAAGATGAGGATACATGTAAATATTCAATTCAAACTGGTAGTATTGTTGATTCAAATGCAGCTTCTTCTTCTTCTTTGAGTATGGATTTTGATGGTATTAGCAGTGAGTATGGAAATGAATATTTAGGCAAATATGGTAGTTGTGGAGGTCGTAAGTATTTGTCTACTGATTGGGAGGGTTATATTACTCATGAGGGTCAGAAGTTTGAGGGTGGAGTTTGTGAATTCCGTGATAAGTTGGCTAAGTACTCGATTGAGAATGGTTTTAAGATGAAATATTTGAAAAATGAGCCTCGTCGTGTTACTGCTGTGTGTGCTAAGAAGGAATCAAATGGCTGTGAGTGGCATGTGCATGCTGTTAAGTCGAATGTAAATGGATTTTTTTATATTAAGAACTTAAATAATGCACACAGTTGCAGTGGTTTGATCCGTGAGAAGAGAAATAAGGCAATGGGGTCTCGTTTGGTGTCTTCAATTGTCAAAGATAAGGTTCGTAGCAATCCTTTGGTAAGGCCTATTGAGCTGATTACTGATTTGAAGGAGAATTATGGATTGGATATCCCTTATCATGTTGCGTGGTATGGGAAGGAGTCGGCTACTAAGGATTTGCATGGTGATGAGGAGTTGTCTTATGCTCACCTGCCTTGGTATGTGAATGTTTTGAAGGCCAGCAATGTCGGATCTCATTGTGTGCTTGACTGTGGCGAGGATGGTTCTCGTTTCCAGCGGATCTTTATATGTTTTAAGGCCTCCATTGATGGTTTTCGGTGGTGTAGGCCTATGCTGTTCATTGATGGTACTTTCGTCACAAACAAGTACAAGGGTACTCTTCTAGGAGCTACTGCAAAGAATGGAAATAAAGGTATGTAATGTAAATGCTGTAGTTGTTGACTTCCATTGAGTGGTATGAACAGTGTAGTTATGCAAATGTAAATGCTGTAGTTGTTGACTTCCATTGAGTGGTATGAACAGTTTCTATACTGTTCATACCCTGCATCTGAGTATTTTTATGCATTGTAGTTTTACTCTGCTTTATGTGGTAACACTGTTACAGTTCAAACTAACTAATATAGTTCTCTGTTTCTTGTAGAAGTATTCCCTTTTGCCTTTGCGATTGTATCTGGTGAAACTGTGGATAATTGGAGGTGGTTTCTGCAAAGGATATCTGAAGTCTTGGTTGATGAAGGTAGGCAACTTACATTCATTTCTGATAGGCATGGTGCTATTATCGATGCTGTTAGGACTGTTTTTCCTGCTTCTCCCCATGGTTTTTGTCTATATCATTTGAAAAGAACTTGAAAAAGAAGTATCCGCATGCTGTTGGTTCCTCTTTCAAGGATCATATTTTATGGCTTTTTTGTAAGTTGTTGTATGCACCGACTGTTGAGGAATATCAAGATACGTTGAAAAAATTAAGAGATGATGGCGGTTCAAAAATAATTGATAAGTTTTTGGCTGATCTCCCTGTCCAAAATTTTGCTAATGCATTTTTTCCGGGAAAGAGGTATGGGGAGGTTAGTAATGCCTTGTCCGAGTCGTTTAATTCATGGATTAAGGATGTGCGTAGGCTTCCAATTTATGAGATGATTGACACTGTTAGGATCAAAATGATGGAGATGATTTCTAGGAGGAAGCTTGCATCCGAGAAATGGAGTAGTGTTTTGTGTCCTGTTATTGAGGATGAGTTGAAGAATTTAGCTGCAAAGGGTCGTCATTGGAGGATATGTCGCGCGAGTGAATCTGTTTTTGAAGTTCATGCTGATTTGAGTGTTATGGTCAATTTGGACGAGAGGTTTTGCTCCTGTTATCAGTGGCAATTGCTTGGGTTTCCGTGTCAGCATGCGATTCAAGTTATCCAACATTCCGGGTTATGTTTGTACAACTTTGTGGATGAGTATTACAAGGCAGACTTTTATAAGGCTACTTATGCAACCCTTATATTTCCCATACCTGATATTGAGAAGCCTCCTCCTGCAGATGTTTTTCTTCTACCTCCTCATACAAGAAAGCCTCCGGGACGACCTCCGACAAAGCGCTTCAAGTCAAGCAGTGAAACTAAAAGGCAGGTGAAGTGCAAGAGATGCGGTTCTTGTGATCGTCATAATAGGAGGACTTGCAAGGTTCCTATTTGATGTAAAGGTTCTGAGTATAAAGACTTGAATGAGAGTAGTTAGTTTTTAACTAGTTAAAGTGCTATGTGATTGATTAATGACAATCATAGTTGAAAGGAATAGAAATTGATATGCAAGTTGTTAATACGGTGAAATAGCAGTCACTGCATATGAATACACTTTGAATTTTTGGTATTAATACATAATATTTACCATTTTTGGTATTTTGCAAATTTCGGTTTTGAAGTTTGATATGAATTAAGCATTACTGCTGTTTGAATAATCTATAAATGAACGAACACTATTTAATGCTCACTGTTCATGCCATTGTTGAAATTGAAAGATAGTTCTATGACATGGTATTAACAATTTATTTCTATCAAATAGCATTAACATTGAATTGAGAGTGCGTTGTTATTTGTTGTAGTTCACCTTTTTAGTTGTTTTAGTGCTATGGAGACCATTATTTCAGGTTACATACACTGTTAATTCACGTAAATAAACTGGTTTTTGAATAAGTACATAACTTGAATTTGAAAATCACTTTACTTCAATGTTCTAAACCTACACAAGTCCTAAGAAACTACAATATAAGCAAGAATTTTGGCAAAATATTTGATTACAACTTCATTATTTTGCATTTCTCTCTTCTCTTTCTTTGATGGAAATCCAACTTCTTTCATTGCTCATAATTTTCATGAGGACTTCTTTTCTCATTTGCCAGACCTTTTCTTTGTTGAAATCTGATTCTATTTGTTGGTCTTTGGAAAGCTGCTTCATGAAGTGCATGACAAAGACGCCACAATCATTGCTGCATAATAGAGATACGCATGCAGGAGTTATTTCAGTATTTTTTTAGTTGAATAGGATGAAAGTTTCACTGTTATTGCGTAACTTACGAATTGTTTGCTTGTTGGGGACATTCTCTGTTCTCAGTCAGCTTGAAGTTAGTAGTATCATGACAAATCAGATACTTCATTGTCTGAGCATATTCTGGTGTAAGTTCGTTGCTGGCAAGTATTTTTGTTATCATTCTAGCTGAAGCTTCATTAAGCCCTCTCGGCTTCTTGGCATCAAAATCAGGAATTTGGACGAGTTTTGTTTTCAGTGATACTGCAGCACATTCCTTAAGAAGACAGAGGAATATATTTGCTGTCTCAACCTGCATCATAGTCAAGTATGTGCTTAGTTTCCTTTAAATTTAGTGTCCTATGTATTAACAGTGTTAATCACCAGTCTTACTTACCAAAACAATTGCCTTCTTGTGATAATATTGGAGAGTTTGTTCTGATGTCCCCCTGAATGAGTTGAAGTGTGTCCATTTTGCTGCACCGGTGTCAAAGACAAGCAGCGTATGGTGGTTCTCATCTGTAATTGGTATGAACACTCTATCAACTCTTCCAATATTTTCTAGGAGTGGCATATAGAAAGCATGATATGTCAGCTTGTGTGAGGCACCTCGCAAAAACATCTGCAAAAGTCATGTGTTGGTGATTAGTGAGCATGTTGATGATATAAAATTGATGTATTAGATGTGATCTTACATAGTTATTGGCGGACAAATATGCATTTTTCTGTTTCTGAGGGTTCTGCTTCACATCATCATTAAGTGCCTCTCCATAAACATCGATGATTAGTGCAGAAATTGGAGCATCTCCCATCAGCTTTTCAATGTTATGTTTGTACAATATTGTCCTATTTTGTAGGTAAAAAGCGTCCCTGCGACAAGAATGTTGTTTAAAAATGATAATCTCATAATAGTTTAATAACAAGACAGTTCTATGACATAGTATTAACAGTGTAATTCTATGACAGTTCTAAGGCATAGTATTAACAGTGTAACACTGTGACAGATTGGCTTACTCGTCAGAATCAGATGCAGATTTCCAGTAATTTTCCAACTTCTTCTTTGATATTTCATCCAGCCTGTTGTAGACCTCATACATGTGCAACTGAAGTTATGTATCTTTGTCCTCCTTTTTTTTGTTGGCTGCTTCATCTTCGCTTTGGCTTGCTCTTTTTCGGCCTTTCTTATGTGCTTCGGGGTATGTGTAATCTGGTTTCTTTGCAGGCTTTCTGTCTTTTCTGTCTTTGATTATTTTGATGCCAGAACGCAACTGCCGTGTTCCTACTTCTTTTGCTTGCATGATAACTAACTTTTCAGGAGTTTTTCCATCAGCGTTCTCATCTTCATCATTAGGAGATTCTTGCATCTCCAATTCACTTTCTTCTGCTATTCTCTCATCTCTTTTCTCCTTATTAGCTTGTTCTTTCATTGGAATTTCTCCTTGTTCACCTTGTTTGATTTTTTTTCCCATCACATGTTGCAAAGAGGCAATAACAGTGTCTTTTTCTTTCATGCTCTCAATGCAGGACAACTTTTCCCCTTCAAGTAGTTCATGTTGTTCCTGTAGCTGTCTCCTATTTGATTTGAGTGCATGAAGTTCCCCTTGTAATTTTGCACCTTCTTTTTTCTCTTGCTCAAGCTGTTTTTTCAGTAATTCAATTTGTTGCTCCAACTCTTCTTTTTCAGTCCATATTTGTTGAATGAATGAATTTTTCTTTATGCAGGATTCTATAGCAGTCTGCATCATATCCCTTCGAGTATCTGCCTTTTCAATCCAATAGTCGACTGCTTCTTTCAGCTGTTGGATTTTCTCATGGGTAGGGGCTATTTCATGCTTGTAGTACTCTGGGATTGACCCCACTATGTCCACAAAAATGGAGTCGAAGTCTTCTTCTTGGCTGTCAAGTTCTGGGTTCTGTTGCTGGACATTAACAGTGTCCTCCTCCGTCACTGAGTCTGCACTAAGGTCAACTGCTTGTTCTTCAATTTCATCATCTGCTTCGCATTCCAATGATTGTGCTGGTGGTTCTTCAATTTCATCATCTGCTTTGCATCCCAATGATTGTGCATTGTCTTCATTTTGCTCATGTTGTGGAGTTTTTGTCTGGGTTGCACTTTGGTCCACATTTTCATGGAAGCTGAAGTTCTGTTTCTGGGTAATAACAGTCTGGCTTTTTCCTTTTTGTGTTTGACTTTTAACTGTCACAAATATTAGAAAGGAAAAAAAAAGTATTAGCAAATTTATATACATGTATATGTGTTTGTACACTATCAATTCAGTTTTGAAATATAAATGTTGGATCATTGTAGGTTATCTTACCCAATCTTTAAGTGTGATAACAAAGTCATCATCCTCTTCATTTTCTTCTTGTTCTTCATGGTCTGCATGATCAGTCTTTGTTGCTTCTTCTTTTTCATTGTCAGCAGCTTTTATCTGTTGAATTATTGGAGTCAGTAGTAATTATGGTGTACTAACATTATATATGTTTATGGAAGTAAGAAAATGCCTTAATGTTTTCATATGTTGCAATATTCAGCTTGATATTGAGCTCCGGAAGGCTCCATTTGACAGCCGCTGGTTTGTGATCTTCTCTTCCAGGAATTGGACTGATCAGGTTAGTTCTTTCACACAGCCAATACTGCAAACATGTTTTTCAATATAAAGTGTTAATGCACATGAAAACAAATAATATAACAGGATTAACAAATGGATGTAGTTTCTTACCAGGATTAGCACAAGGCAACCACTGACGCTTGGTTGATTTGTCTTGTCCTTTTTATTTTTTATGGCTTGGTCCAGTCCATAATGCATGTAATCTAAGACTCCTTGTGCCCAGTTGTAGCTGTTCATAGCTTCTAATGTGTCGATCATAGTCAAAAAGGTCCAAGCCATTGTCGCCCCAGAGTTGCAAAAGAGATTTGTGATGAAGAGCTCTAGGATTAACAACCTGACAACATCCATTGCATTCTTCTTTCTGTCATCTGCTATTGCTGTGTTCAGACACCTATCAATCTCAGTTTTTGTGATTTTTTTTGACTTCTCGAAGTACTTCTTTTCGAAGGCCAAATTTGTTCTTGTGGAAGTTGTTGTGCTTGGCAACTTGTTTCCTTTGTTTGGCAATCCAAAGATGTCAGACACATCATTGCTTGTAATTTCATGCTCGTTGCCTTCACTGAATTTGAATTTTTTGGTTGCGGGGTTGTAGAGTCTGATTAGTTTAATTATTTGATAATTAGACTTCTGGCATTCTACCTTGGTTAACTGACCTTCCATGTAAGCCTTGATGATGCTCCAGAATGGCGTTTTTTGTAGGATCTTGAGGACATCCTTTCTTGCTGCAAGCTTGTCTTTTACCGTTTGCAATGTGTTGTCAAATGTGAGCATGTTGCTCTTGATCTGCACATAATCTGGGTTATTGCGTCTGTTTGGTTGAGGTTTTTGTGTTTGGGATTGTGTTTTTTTTGTCTTCGTTGTTTTCTTTGGTTTCAGTGTGTTTGCGGATTTGGGTGTGGATAGTTTGGCTTTTGCTGTTGTTGGTGGTGTGCCTTGTGTGTTTCTTGATGCTGTTTTGTGCTTTTGGCTGGCTTGTGATCCTTTTGTATGCTTTTTTTTGAATTTCAACCCGGTTACCTTTTTCCATATGACCACCTGCAAAGTGAAACAAATAGGTTACTTTAACTAAACAAAAGAAAGATGAAACATAAGTATTAATACTTCTATGACATGGTATTAACCATTTACTTCTATGCATTTGAACCTCATGCTTCTCTTTTTTAGTGCACTACGATTTTTTTTCATATACATTTCTAGTGCATGTTGCACTAGAAGAGCAAGATGCATAGAAGTCCCAGATTTTGATTAACAAAGGATGCTACATATTTTGGTCTTCAAGTGCACTGCTTTGCAGTGCACTAGAAGAGCAAGATACATAGCATGCTATATATTTTTGGTCTTCAAGTGCACTGCAAAGCAGTGCACTAGAAGAGAAAGATGCATAGCAGTCACAGATTTTGATTAACAAAGGATGCTATATATTTTGGTCTTCAAGTGCACTGCTTCGCAGTGCACTAGAAGAGCAAGATGCATGGTATTAACAGTTGTGACATGGTATTAACAGTTCAAGTTCTATGACATGGTATGAACAGTTGTGAAACGTATACATTTGCAGTCGAAACATGCGTCTTTTCAAAACATTGCTATTGGACTTTGACGTTAAGAGATTTTGTAATACCTGGGAGTCTGATAGTGATGCTTTGTCAGCCATTTGTGAAGAATCTTGAGTGTTTGTTTCTGTCATTGTTGGACCTTTTCGTTGGTTACCTGTATTAAACGTGGTACTCTTGCATTAGTTAGCAGAATCTTAAGACGAAAGTGGAAAGTCATTGTGGGTTTTTGAGATTGTACCTTTCTGTCGATGTTTATGGAAGAAATTTTCTTCCCTTTTTCCTGGTTGTCCTTGTGCTCAGTTGCTTTTTGTAGTGTCGATTTTGAAGACTTTTGGCTATGGCAGAATATAACTTCGATTCGCCGGCTTTCTCGTTATGGAGTTTGTCGTTGATTGGTGGTTATGGAGGTTGTCTCCTGCCTGGTGGTTATGGAGGTTTTCGCCTGCTTTTGGAGTGGGTCGCGTCGCAAAGATCGGAGTGAGAGGGTGAGTGGGTTTTTCGCTTTTTGGGTGCGTGCGTGTACTCTGCGTTGAGATATTTTCTTTTTTTTCAATGGGCTTAGTGAAATTGGGCTTTATTGGCTTGTTGAGTTTTCTGGGCTCTTTTTTTGGTTTGTTTGGGCTTTTTTTTGTCAAATCAGACTGGGCCTTTTTTCTGTATTTTTCTATGGCTTGGTTGATTTGTTTTGGGCTTTACTTCGTTTCTGACCTTGATTTTCTCAACTTGGGCTGGGCTTTTGAAAGTCACTGTTAATACGCATTTTGAACACTGTTAATTCGCAGTTTGAAATATAGAAGCAGCTATAGAGTAACAATTTTTTACATTTGAATCTCACTACACAGTAACTATTTGACATTTGAAAGTTAAGAAGCATCAAAAGATTTTGGTTAGAAGCTACATATTAACAATTTGACATTTGGAAGTTAGAAGCCGAACATTTACTATTTTATAGTTCTAAAATTTGTGAAATCCATGCTTTCATCCTTCATTCTCTTTTGTGAAATACCAACTTTTTTCACTTTCCATTGTCTTCAATAAAACTTCTTTTCTCATTTCCCACACATGCTCTGTACTCAAGCTTTCTTCAATTTGTTTTCCTTGTGACAACTTCTGCATGTAGTACATGACAAATACTCCACAATCGTTTCTGCAAATTCACACACACACACACATATATATATGCAACATTTAGTGAATCATAGTTTAATTTGAATTGGGGGAAGAAAAGTGTTATTGTGAAACTTACGACTTTTCAGGTTGTTGGGCGCATTCCCTGTCCTCCTTAAAGTTGAATTTGGTGGGATCATGTTTCATCAGATATTGTATTGTTTGAGCAATTGCTGGTGTAACTTTCAGGTTTCGAAGAAGTTTTGCAATCTCGTCGGTCAATTCTTCATTGTAGACGGGCTTCTTGAACTCAAGAAGTGGGAAGCTGTTTTTTTCTAAAATTGTTGGAGCACATTCCTTGACGCTATTGAGGAAGACATTTGTTGCGTCTGCCTGCATTGTAGGCAAGTATGTTGTTAGCTTCACTGATTAACTGTTTTGTTCATGCCTTGTATTAACAGTTCATAGTAGGAGTCTGTCTTACCAAAATTATTGCTTTTTTGTTGTAGTATTCAACGGTTTGCTCAGTTTCCCCCCTCAATGAGTTGTAGTGCGTCCATTGCAATGAATTGGTGTCGAAGACAAGCAGGGTGTGGTGTCCGCCATCCGTTATTGGTATGAACACCTTTGAAGTTTTCCCTATGCATTCAAGGAGTTTGACAAAATATTCATCGAATGTTCTTGGGTGCATTTTATCTGTGAGATACCTCTGCAAAATTAATAGTTTCGGCATTAGAGAGAATGTGAAAAGTATAGGAAGATGAATAATTTGTGATTTTTACTAGAAGTAATGGGATAGCTATGATCTTACGTATGCGTAGCACGTGATGTATGCATTCTGTTGTCTTTTAGGGTCCTTCTTTTCATCATGATGAAGTATCTCGGCATACGCATCTATGATTTGTCCATAAATTTCAGTATCTCCTAATAAGCTTTGTATGTCATCTTTGAACAAAATGCTTGTCCCTTGCCAAAAAGCAGTGCTGTAACAGTATTTGTAGTCAGAAAAAATGGCAATAAAATTGAAAGAACTGTTCAATAAAGTTCCAGTATAGGGTAATAATACTGCTTGTTTCCTAAAAAACCTTTTTCTAACGCATGTCTACCATTGTAAAGTTCCAGTATAGGGTAATAACACTGCTTGTATCCTATGAAATCCTACATCTAATGCATGTCTATCACTGCAAAGTTCCAATATAGGGTAATAACACTGCTAGATTCCTCTGAAATCCTATAACTAATGCATGTCTACCCCCTGTAAAGTTCTAGTATAGGGTAATAACACAATGAAATCCTATTTTCTAATGCATGTTCAATAATAGCATCTTGCATTGAAAATGAATGAAACACATTGCCTTACCCATCAACTGAATTTTTCCAGTAATTTCTCAGCTTTTCTTGTGAGAGTTCATCCAGCATGTTGTAGACCTGATATGTATTCCATTGCAGGAATGAACCTTTGGCCCTCTTCTTTGATTTGGCTGGTTTTTTTTGTGCCTTTCTCTTTTGTGCTCTCGTCTCTGCTTTAGGGAATGAGGAATCTGGTTTTCTTGATTTTATCTTTTCTGCTTCACCTTCTTTCTTTTCTTCTTTATCCTCTTCACTCTGCAGTTCTTGCGCTAATTTTTGATCTCTCAACGAGACAATAACAGCTTCCTTTTCATTAATAATGTCCAAGTAGGAAATCTTCTCTGCAAGAAGTTGATCATTTTCTAGCTGCAGCTTTGTCATGTAGGATTTTTCCTGATGAACATCTAATTGTATGACTTTCTTGTGATGTGCTGCTTCCTTAACCATCTTCTGCAGTTGCTGCTGATGCTTCAATAATTCTTCTTTTTCATTGTACAGCATCTGAATCAATTTATTCTTTTTAATGCAAGATGCTATTGCATCACGGATCTTTTGATGCTCTCCTTTCTTCGTCCAATATTCAGCAGCATTATTGATCGCCATCATATACTCTTTTGTAAGCTGTATTTCATCCTCCTTGTATTCTGGTACTGATCTAACAATTTCCTCAAACAACGTTGAATTCCGGTATTCTGGGATTTCATTTTGGAGGTCTTCTTGTACCTGGTGGTGTTGCTGGACTTGATGTTCAGCAGCATCATCATGGTCTCCATTCACTTCAGCATCCTCCTCCTCTTCATTTTCTTCTTCAGCAGCATCACCATGCTCTTCATTCACCTCTTCAGCAGCATCATCCTTGTCTTCACTCACTTCTTCACCAGCATCATCATCATGCTCTTCATTCACTTCTTCAGCACCATCATCCTCCTCTTCATTCTCTTCTTCAGAATCATCATCATTCTCTTCATTCTCTTCTTCAGAATCATCATCTGGCTCTTGAGCTTTAGTGCTTTTTATCTGTTTGTTGAGTAGAGTTAGTATTAAGAGTGCACTTCTATGACATGGTATTAAGAGTGTAATTCTATGACATGGTTTTAATAGTGTACTTCTATGAAATGGTATTCATAGTTTACCTCTGTGACATGGTATTCATAGTTTACTTCTATGACATGGTATTAACAAGTATGTACATGACATGGTATTAACAATGTTGTCATATCAGCTGCAGATTATTTGAGAGGAAAGAGTACCTTTATCTGGTTGTTCTTTAGATGATGAAGCTTCGCGCTGAGTTCTTGAAGACTCCATTTGACAGCAGCTGGTGTCATTTGTTCTCTTCCAGGAATTGGAGTGAGCAGGTTAGATCTTTGACACAGCCAATACTGCACAATATTTTTTTGAAATATCACGTGTCAATTCATATCATTAGAATAATGCTACGAATTTGCAGTTTGGAGATTTGTGTTCTTACCAGTATTAGGATTAGGCAGCCACTCACGCTTGGCTGCTTTTTTTTGTCCTTCTTGTTCTTCTTTGCTTGTTCTAATCCAAAATACATGTAGTCCAAAACTCCTCGAGCCCAATTATATTTCCCCATCTCTTCTAAGGTGTCTATTGTGGTTGTATATGTCCAAGCAAGTGTACAACCAGAGTTGCAGAATAGATTGGTCATGAAGAGTTGTAGGATTATCAATCTTGTTACATCCATAGCACCCTCTTCTGTTTCATCTTCAAGTGCCAAATTCAAGCACTTATCAATTGAAGTCTTTGTTATCTTCTTATACCGCGCGAAGTATTTCTCTACAAACTGCAATTTTGGCCTTGTTGAGGTTGTTGTGCTTGGTAACTTCTTGCCACTGTTTGGCAAGCCAAAAATTTCAGCCACATCATTGCTTTTCATCTCGCTGTCAACATCATTAAACTTGAACTTCTTTGTCTTTGTGTCATAAACTTGTATGAGTCTCACAATGTCGTAGTTAGACTTCATGCACTCTACCTTTGTTAACCTTCTCTGGATATATGCTTCTATTAATGCCCAAAAAGGTGTCTTTGATAGCAGTGTTAAGACATCGTGCCGACGTTCAAGTCTCTGTCTGATGTTGTCAATTGTTGTTGCAAAAGAGAGCATGTTGCTCTTGATCTGCACATAATTTGGGTCCTCCCATCTGGTAGGCTTCTTGTTTGTTGTTGTTTTGGATGATGACTGTTGGCCTTTTGTTTTGGAGTTTCTTCTGGCTCTTTCTTTCTTCATCTTTTAATTGGTATACCTGCATTAGAAATAGGAACACGACAGTAAAGTATCGGTGTTAATACCCCATACTGGAACTTGACAGAGGTAGACATGCCTTAGAAATAGTATTTCTTAGGGAACAATCAGTGTTATTACCATATACTGGAACTTGACAGAGGTAGACATGCCTTAGAGACAGTATTTCATAGGGAACAATCAGTGTTATTACCATATACTGGAACTTGACAGTGGTAGACATGCCTTAGAAATAGTATTTCATAGGGAACAATCAGTGTTATTACCATATACTGGAACTTGACAGTGGTAGACATGCCTTAGAGATAGTATTTCATAGGGAACAATCAGTGTTATTACCATATACTGGAACTTGACAGTGGTAGACATGCCTTAGAGATAGTATTTCATAGGGAACAATCAGTGTTA